AAGGCACAAGTTCAGCCTCACCTCCTCAGTGAGGTTCATATCGTTCAGAGAAGTGCCTTCTCGAGACTTTGTAAGCATCACTGCAACTGCTCGTTTTGCCATCCTCTGAAAAATATCACCATTTTTTCACAGGCCAAAACAATGTCAAATCACATAAAGAAATTGAATGTGCATTGGAGAAAAATCTACGCAGTCTGGTAACTAAAAATTGAATAAATAGGACATACACTTTAATCTTTAAGTGGGCACCTGTAAAAAACAAAATAATCATACAAAGAAGCCATAAATGATAAAATAAAAAATAAAAATAAAAATAAATAAATAAAAAAAAGTCCATTTGGAAATATGGAAAGCCAAGTGGGGTTAGCAACAACCCTATCAAGCTTCTTAGAAATATTCTCAGAAGCAAAGGACCTGTTAGACCATGTGCTCAGTCCCCCCAAATCTTAAGGCCAGAGAACCTTAAGTCATCCAAATTACAGTCCATAAGACAATCATTCAATTGCTCCATTGTAGGGGTCCATTGCTCAGTCCCCCCAAATCTTTCTCCAGGTCATCTAACTGCGTTAAATCCCCCAGGAGAATCCGTGGTTCTGATTCAACAGTAGAAGCAATCTCATTGATATCATTCCAAAGAATCTGTCTTTCTTCAGGGGTATTGGCTCCATAGATAAATGTAGCAAAGGAATGAGGAAGGGAGGAGTTAGTGTAGGAAATATAGCAATGAATGAACTGGCTTGACATTTTAATGCTTTGTAAAGAAAGGATAGTTGGGTTCCAAATAACCCAGATTCTACCAAGAGGAGCAAACTGGCCATTATTAATGAGAGGCCAGTCAGTGAGAGAACTATGAATCAAGGCTTCATTATGAGACCTAATTTTAGTTTAAGTAATACAATGAAATCCAGCTAGTGTTCAATCATAAACTACTTAATCTCTTTATGTCTGGAGGGACTGTTCATCCCTCTAACATTCAATGGAGAAAACATCATTGATGGGGAGGGGTTTGGAGGTCACCAAAAAACCTGTTATAGGCTTCCCTTGAGGTAGCTTGAGCTTCCTTTAGCTGATTTCCTTGCCTCTTTCCTCTGTTTCTTGCTTTCCCTAGGTGTGAGTCTTGAGCAGCCTTTTTTTGGCCCCTCTTCTTGTGTAGTAATACTAGTTTATTGCGGACCTGTGAACCCAACTTGTTAATGGTACTTCATTTGATTGCTATTTTTTTTTTTCTTCTTATTATTATTAATAAATCCTTGTTGACCTCTAGTGCTCTTGTGTAATCTTCGATCACATTAGTGCAAGATATGTTTTTTTTGGATAAGGTAATTAGTGCAATATGTTGATGACCCTTTCTAGATCTTCCTTGAAAAGTGTATATCATCGTAAGATTTAAAGTTAAAGTTAAATCAATTAAAGATACCATTGTTTGATATATCTTCTTGTGGTTATGCTGGCTCCCTATGAGTTGAATATGGTCCAAAAGTTTATTAGTTGGACTTTAAAGTTTAGCAAGCTCAAAATCTGAGAGTTGAGTTCTATACGATGTTTTCTGTGATTAGCTTCGCTGTCCCCTGCAGTGATTTACCCTTCTGGTTGGAGAGTTGCTCTTCCGAGTCTTTAGGAATTAGTCTGATTGTTAAGGGATTCTAAAAAATTCGTGTCATTCCGGACACCTCGGATTAATAAAAAAACAAAAAAAAAAAGAAGAAGAAGAAGAAGAAGAAGGTAAGACAACTGTCACATGCTCTACATAGATATTATTAGCACAGAATAGCTCCAACTTCTGTACAAGTAAATTTATTATTATATTTTTTTTTCTTTCAAAATTTAGGCATTGCACATGCAACAGATAGTACTATACAACAAACAAATTTTCATAATTTATATAACAAAGTTCTTTAATGACGTTTTATTCCTTATTTTTGGACTTCTATTTTTGTTTCAGTATATTTTATTATATTTTTAATTTTTGGTGGCACACTCTACTTCTACTAAAATATTTTTAATTAAGAAAAATATAGACATAAAAGAAATATAGAATAAAGAAAATATAGCCTATACAACATGTCAATGTCCCATGAGAGATCGCCCATCATGAAGACATCAAAAAATAAAGTTTGAGTACCAGGTGGAGAAAGTCTTGTCAGGAATTATCATGCCCACTGGTTCTCCGGCTTATCAAAATTGATGACATCCTATACCTTCTCATACATTTTTTTTTTTTTTCCTTCTCATACATGTATTTCACTCACTTCAGTCTTCAATATAAAAGTTAGCCCAATAAATTATAGAGGGAAATTAATAGGTGCATATTACTCCTTTATCTGATATTTGATATTTGCTTTTTTTAATTTTATTCAAATAAAACTAATAACAAATCATAAATTATAAAATATGATTAAGTACAACTCTTGTGCACGCGGGTAATATTTTTATGCAAATCATGTCACCAAAATGATCTACATAAAAAATGATATCTTTGTGCACGAGAGTAATACCTATATGTACAAACGTAGTATTTTTGTGTACAAAAACGGTATTTACATGCATAAATAATATCTCTATGCACAAGACTGATACTTATAATCACAAGAGTAATATTACATGCACTAAAGTGATATATCTGTACACAAAAGTGATACATGAAAAAGAGTATACATGTAGTTTGGACAAATGACTAGCACTTTTTCATGTCCAAAAATCATCATCTAAAAAGCATTGGCTTTGACCCATGACTTTGTAAATTGGTTTCTAAAACTCCATGTTTTCGTAATTATCACAAAAATTAGTACCAGAGGGGTGAAATTTCTCTTTTCTTTCAAACCATAATTCCAATCATTTTTTTTTCCAGTAACAAAAATAAAATGAAAATACTAATAATAATGTTACTAAAATTGCTTCTGATGGTACGAATTATGAGCACTCTTTGCGGATTCTTAGATTGTGGCAACTTTTGATACGTTTGAAAAATTAATTAAATATTTTCATCATTTCATAATTCGAAAGTTCAGCCCTTCTCTTATGAGAAGTCTCTCTCAAAACCTTTACTCTTTTTATTTTTATTTTTTATATTTATTTATTAAATGAACTTATGAAGAGTTTAATCCTTAAAAATTATAATTTAACTATCATCTCTCATGAATTTTGAAAAAGATAAAATATGTGTTATATATATGTATGCGCACATAAATAAGTGAATTCATGTTTCATATACATTTTCAAATAGTTAAAATGAAAATGTTGAAATAGATAAAGGGAGACATTAAAAGAAGCACAGCCAGGTTACTATCGAAATGTGAGATAGGGCATGGCTGCAAATAAGCCGAACCATGTTTCAATAAGTTGAAGCACAAACTTGTTTTTCTCTAGTTGGTTCTAGTTTTGACCGAAAATCCAACAAGTTCAAAATGCGAGTTAGTATATTGACTCTTGTATTTATGAATGTATGTAAACTCGTACTAGTTCAGTATTCACGATTGTAATCGAGTCCAACAATCTTTGACATTGACCATTTATTAAATGAAATTAGTAAATCAAACTCAAATTCGAATTAAATTTAAAACAAACTTGTTATGCTTTTTATGAGCAAACTAGTTTCCATTTAGATTTCATTTGTTTTACAGTAAAATATTTTTTAGAAATCATTTTTCACATTTTTGATGTTTGGGAGACTCCAAGGTTAGAAAATAATTTGTCATGTAAATCATTTTACCCTCAAATAACTTGAAATGAATTACCAAAAAAAATTTAATAAGTCATTTTTCACAGACTACTTTGGATCATATAACTATCCGTATTCTTATTAAATTCCTATGTCCCTCAAATAACTATTCATTTTCAGCCCTTCCAATCTAAAAATATAATTTTCAATCTTCTCTCTATATGTATATATAGAGTGAGAAGAGAGAGAAAGAGAGGGGAGAGAGAGAATGACACAAATTTGAGTTGGTTAAGGAACAAATTTGAGTCGGGGGTGTGTTATGATATAGGGGGATAATGGAGAGAAAAAGTAATCAGAAGGAGAGGGAGGGATACTATTCCCTCTTGGTGAGGAATAATGAAGAAAGAGAGAGGATTAATTGTGGGTCATATTTCTTGGTAGTGGAGAATACTGAAAAAAAAAAAGAGTTAATTATATACGAAAATGGATCTAAAAAATATTTTATCAAACTGTTACGAAATATCAAAAAATAAAAATAAAAAAAAAATTTTTAAAAGAAAAATATTTTATGTCAAAACAAATGAAATTTCATGGACTAAAAATCGTATAAGAAAAACATATGAGTGACGTGCATATAACACTAGATTCAGATAAAGTAGTGTGAACTTGTATAAATTATTCAACCAAAAGTAATAGATCCATAAATAAAAACGAGGAAAGATCACTTTCAACGTGCAACAAACTCTTTTATGTTTGGTAGTAGTTGACTAGTAATTGTGTTTGAAACTTAAGTTTACTGTATTACATAATGATTTAAAAAATTAACTATCTTTAATTTTAATTGCAATCTTTCATATAAATTACGCTATGACTTGATCGTTTTGCCACAAACAAATTAAAATACCATAAAGTTCCACTAAAATATTAATATTTATTTTTGTTGAAAATATTAAATATTTATTTTATTTTGAAAACATTTTATTTTTAATACTTTTAAAAAACAGGATACCGTGAATAATTATATAATTGAAAATAAAAATATTAAACAAACTTGGCTGGTAAATCAAAAAAAGAAAAAGAAAAAAGAAATTGGATTAATTTTAGAAGCGTGTAAATATAATATTGAGAGATTTAGAACTACTAACATGGAAAAATATTGTTATATCCTCTCTATATATATATATATACACAAACACATATATTTTGTATAATATATGCCCATAGTATATTAGGAAAAAGTGTATTATCCACCCAAAATGCTTGTATTGACCCAACGGGTCTGAGTGGACTATACACTAATATCTCTCTTACCACTATCATAAGTAAATGAGACGACTTTTTTTTTTTTGAGCTCGTCTCCTCCATTTTCCATCTTTCACATTCACTCTCTCTCTCCAAAATTCTCTCTCTAGGTTGAAATGGGTTCCAGCAGCAGTCGAATGGAGCGCCCATCTGGGTCCAGACTCGATTGCACTAAGCGCAGACTCTCATCTCTCGTCTGTTGTGGCTCCACTTCTCACTCATCGCTTGAGGTACTATATACAATCGATTATAGATGCATGTATCTATATACATGACTATGGATTTTATAATTGAAGATCCCCTTTTCAAGTTCATGACGAAGGTTTGATGTTGAAGACCCTTGGAATATGTTTCATGCTATTGGTCACTTTTTGTTTTCAAGTGATTTAATTTTGAGGGTTTGATGGTTTTATCAATAGGACCCTTTGATTTATCATTCTTGCACTCATACACACCCATATAGAAGATTTGAGTATATATGAAAAGCTTCCCGTAGGTTGGATTTACTTTCTTAAAAACTTAAATTGTTCCTTGGGGCCCTTTGATGCTATGAATTACTTGAGATAATCACCTGCACCCAATTTATTGATTTGGTTTATGTGATTGTAGGCCTCGCAAAAGAAGAGTTGCTTACAGTTATCTCTTGATTTTGTTCATACTTTTAACTAATATATCTGTTTGTTGAATTTGAATATTACTTTTAATAAAATTAGGTTTGGCCCTCCCCAGACCCCGCAGTGGTGGGAACCTCATGCATAGGGTAGCTATTTAAAAAAAAAAAAAAAAAAAATGGTTAGGATAACAGTTCCTTGAGAAGATTTTAATAGGGTAGTCATTAGAAAATGCTATTTTTGTTTAGTGGAAAGAGTAATATACTAGTGTAATTGCAAACCTAATTGAACTCAAACAAGCCTATATCTGGCTAATATATTCCTATCTAATCTTTTTGCAAGAGTTTTAGAAATGATCGGATTATCTTTTTATTTAGACAATTCAAAAGATGTTCAAATTCTTTTTTATTTCTTTAATATATTTCATTTGATTTGAGCTTCAAGCTGCTGCGAAATTTGTTATGAATTATTATATTATAATCTAAACTAAATAGATGACATTTGAACTAAAATAGACGTGAAACTGTAATATTTGAAGTGGTTGTAGACCTGTAGTGCACTAACAAGAAATGGTGCCATGGCATGTAGAAAGGGTATGGGGGTGGTTAGGGGTTTGATTTTTATCACTTTTCAATAAAAAAAATTCTACAAAGCATCATAAGTCTCCTGCTTTGATTTTTTATACCATTGTGTGAATTTGTAACAGGGATATCTACTCATGAAATCACACAGCTATTAATTAAGCCGGAAACAGGTCATAGTGGGGTGGCAACCACAGCATATCTAAATACATTCAGCTTGAAGTGCTTTTTTGGTTTTTATTTATTTTTAATAAGTGTGAAGTGCTTTCTGTAGTAACTAAATAGGTCTTTTAGTGTTTTCTCAGCAAATCCAGTGAGTCATTCCAGGTCCCACTTGTTATAAAGTTCGACTTAAGGAAAAATTTGATAAATCCAATTTTTTTCTGACTTTTATTGAATTCTAGCTGGATTTAGGTAAAGTCAGCTGGAATTTTGGCGAAGATAATAAGGAATATTAAATTAGATATTTTTACCTAAGTTCCGAATATGAATTTCCAAAATTTTTTAATATGAAGAGCACCCCATCCAAATTTGACTTCCACCAAATTTATGTACTCAATGAATTTTAAGATCATGTGGCAAACTAACTTAACGTGGCTAACTCTGGTTTTGGCTATGCTTTAAAGATGGTTCTTCAGTGGGCTGCGTCATGCCCGTTAAGGCTGCCAAGAATATATTCAAATGCAAATAATAAATGGGCTTTCTCTCGCGACTTAACTTTCTGTATGAACTGTACAAAATTCAATTAGAAGTGCCTCATTATGACATGCACTTTAACATTCTAAAGAAATTTGTACCAGGATGGAGTTATCAGTTATTCATGACAATTTGTAGTACCTGCTCTTGTTCCCATCTGCATTCTGTTCATTACATAAATTCTTCACATCTATAATTTAAAATGGGGACTGATATTATAACGTTCCGACTCTCTTTACCTGCAGATGGAAGAGTATCCAGCTAAATCCCCAGTGAGTTCTGTAGAGAATTTAGCTCGTGTTAGTGATGAACCAAGTAGCTCCAGGGAAGAATCATCAGTCTTTGGTTCAGAAACTGCATTTATTGGTTCCAAAACTGACGTTGGATCCTCATCTGAAAGCAGTGATAGTTCCATTGAGGATAATTCTGCTGGAAATGTTTTGAGAAACGCTGAAATGAGTAGGGAAGAAAAACGTCTTTTGGAGAGTAAGGAATTAGTTTCTCATCAGCTAAATGCTTGTTGTAGTTGTAATGAAGCTTGCTTGAAGAGGAATACTGACACAGCAAGTACTTCCTATGAGGAACAGCCATATCTAGAGCCAGTTTCTACAAATGCAGGGGTCATGTCAGATGCAGAAGCTGAAGCTGATAATTCAATGAACGGATCTGCTTCTTTGAATTGCCCTGATGATCTAAATTCAACCAATGTGGCACCAGAGCGTCCTGATGGGGGTTTTGTTGAAAATAGTGGTTATGTAGTTATGGGCCTTAATACTTCTGCTTCTGGGTCTCTTTCTGTTTTTTCTGGTTCTCTCTTGAGTCTTCAATTGCTAGGAGATGATACTGCTCGAATGGCAACACCTCCTGGTTCGGGATTCCTTGTGTCTGATAGCGAGCAAGATCTGAGAAGTGGAAGTGTACCTCAGGTTGATGTGGTGAGTATCTCTTCCAACATTTTATCTAGTAGGATTGCTGAAATAAGTAACCTTGAGGCAAGAAGGAATAGTAGAAGACTATATTGGGATGCTTTATCAAGACGCAGTTTTAGAAGGTATCGTGATTCCCCAACCATAGTTTTCACAACTGGTCATGCTGATGATCTAGGATCTCATGACAGATGGCTCCTTGATTTGAGTGGCGATCTTCATTATGATGGAGTTGGTCGTGATTCCCGATACCTGGGCACTAGAGGTCATCGCAGAAATGAACGACAATGGCAGTCACGATCCGAGGTGATGTTTTATGTTTTTCCTTCTTATTTTCTAGTTGAATTATCTGAAATATCCCTGCTAAAGATTTGGAAATCCAAATTATTTGATTAATTCATGTGTCGTTCAAGTCCAAATAATGAAAAATTCATATTCATAAACCCCAAGACGATTAATATTGACTCCCTTCCAAATTTTATGCTTTGGAGCAGAAACCGTTTTCATGATGGATCGATTCTAAAAACTGATACGCTCCAATGTTGGAAGGATGTTTTTACCCAAGGTAGTTCTCCCAACCGTAAGACCCTTTATATGGCCCTTAAACGAACTATCAAATCTTTCTGGCTTTCCAAATTTCAGAAAAAGAAATAACGCAATTTAACATTGCTTATTCTAGTTTCCGTTTGAAACGAATCAGTTTAATTGATGGCAGGTATGTTGCAATCTTAGATGTTAGTTTATTGAAGTGTAACCTGTTTCTTATTTCAGAAATCAGATTGTATTAATGGGTTTGACCAATGTAGATTATAGTCGCTAACTTTTGATTGTCAAATTTTCAAGGGTGTCTTTGGTGTCCCATTCTCCCTTCCAGTCAAGTCTATAGAATTTTATGTCGATTTTTACCACAGCTACATTTGCTCCGGACTTCTGTTTTCCCAGTGAAGTTATGCATATATATATATATATATATATATATATATATATATATATATATATATTGTTTTATGTTTCCTTTATAAATTAAAGTGAACTCACAATGAACACGATATGTATGTGCGAATGTTTTACATATTTTGCGTGGAAGAAAAAAAAAATTTTGGTGAACAATCTGAACTTGACCGCCTATTTGCCTATACCAATGGTTTGTAGGACAAGGACAATAATTTCCTTTTTCATCTTAATTTTGAAGCTAATCTGATTTTTGTCTCTTCCTTCTTATAGGCTTGATTGTGGTTCTATATTATCAATAATATTATATTAATTGGATACTTTATGCCAGAGTTGTTGGGTTAGTAATGGGTCCATTGTTTTGTGTAGCATTCATTTATAAATTATAATGCCTATTCCACGAACCATCTTTGTGCACTTAAATTTCTCTGGTCATATCTTACTATAAATGTACAACTTCCATGCCTACTATACAATCTAGTATCCTAGTAACAAGTGGAAGAACAGAATATGGATGGAACACTGCCCTATTTCTCAAAAAAGAAAAGTATTATGTTGATTTAAATTTCTCACATGTGAAATTGGTTTGTCTGTTTTGGATATTATAGGTCAATAAAACCACCCATTCACGAGGCATGGAAGTAACTATGCATTTTGTTGCATTTAATCTCCTTTTTCTTTTGAAACCCTTTTGTGAGCACAGGCCCCACCTCATCTATTGCCTAGTTGTTCTGTCTTATTGGGATGGTGGAACCACTTGTAGAAATTTTACTTTTCTATTCTGGCATCTTGGGGTTATTTTAGAATATTTTTTTTTTGGGTGTTTTTTCACGATGTCCTATCCATACTGGTGTTTGCAGAGCTCGGAAAGACTACACAGTGGTCTTGATGAGGGAGGTCGGCGCACTGATTTATGTGCATCTGGGCTGCACCCTGACGGTACTTGCTTTTGTGAGTCATTCTTTATGGCTGAAGAGTCTGGTACCCTTGCTAGTATTTCCCGAATAGTCATGCTTGCAGAGGCTTTATCTGAGGTAGGCTTCCTTATTTAAATAACCTACATTCTGGCTGAATTGTCTGAATTATTTTTGCTAGGCAACTTTGGTATTCATAAGCTCTCATTAAGCAAAATTGAACAAAAATATCAACTTTTTTATTTTTTATTTTTTTATTTTATATATACACCACCATGTGAACCCAACTGTTTCTTGCCACCCTCTGCATGGTTTGGTCGGTAGTTTTGTATGTAAAAATTTTAAATGCATATATGAGCTTAGCTGTCCTAAAACTAGTAATTTAAACTCTTATGGATTTTAGGGTCATGCTATATGATCATATCTGTCTATATTGGTGAATTCTTTTGCTGTTGAACCGTTTTTTTATTATTATTATAAATATTTCACTATCTGTCACAATTTACACAATTTAGGCATGTGACACTGTTGAGAAATCTAGTGGGCCCGATTTTGTTACAATGCCATGAATGTTTATTATTGATTTTATTTTAGTATGCTGCTTCTTTATTTTGTTGGCTTCGGGGGAGAAGTTGTAAATCAATAGGGAAGTTAGTGGATTTTGTGGATATGTTGAGTGTTTAGGGGCCCTATTTGGTTCTTGTGTAGGTTTTGGAATACACACCCCTTTCTAGCGCTGGCTATAATCCTAAAAGAAAAAGAAAGTTAAAAAACAACAACAACCAGGATTTGTTTCCTCAGATGAAACTGAAGTGGATTTTATTTGTAGGTTTTTATGGAAGTTTCTGGAACTTTAACCTGAATTATGTCAATTTGGGCCGTAATAACGTTCTAAAAGCATAATTTTTGTTAAATTTATAAATGTATTTGTCTTTGGTTCTTAAAGTGATAAGATATACTATGTTTGTCATTGTCGGAACCTCTTGTTCCCCATCATATACTATCCAAGCTAGATTTGTAGCTGTCAAAGTTCTCCAACTCCAACAAAGTAAATGACTGAATTGAGGTATTGTACGACTGCATTTCAATCTGCCATATTTGGGGGATTCTGAAACATCTATAACCATCTTGATGGAAAAGAAAGTATAATATCACAGGTGCTGAGATAGTTGAATGGATCCAAAATTACTAAGCACCAGACGAATGCTTTGTTTTTCACTTCCTTTTCCATTTTTTTTTCTTTTTGCCAAAAATGATTCCAAGGAATCAACTTCTATCTAATTATATAACCTCAAAACCCCTGTTGGTCTGATTACTTTTCCTTTTAAAAATTGCCACTTGGAAATGTAAGGGAGAATCATTATATTTTTTGGTAAGTTAGAGGGAATCATTATAGACAAAAGTAACTGAAAAAAGGAGTGGGCAACAACTGAATGTCTGAAATATAGGATGAACCAACAAGGAAAAGAACACGTCCATAATGTGCCGTTCCTCTAATGTTAATGGTGAAAGATAATCCTAGAAGTCCTGCAAATTGTCCCTAAATATCTTCATCTTCGTATCAAAGAAGTAAAATAAGAAAAAAGAAAAAAAAAAAATGAAAGATAAAATGAGGTCTCTTACCCCTCTAGAACAAGCGAGACAGTTTTAAATCTAGGATTTTCTGGAAGCACACTATCACAATATGTCGAATGTAATATTTAGCTTAAAGGAATCAATACTATCATCAGGAAGCCTTGAATAACAGATAGAGTGCTACTAATGGATTTTACCATCTACTGAATATTCAATTGTTATGGTTCACCTCCTTTACATATTGTAAAAGCAGGTTTATCAGTGTGCGTTACCGTGCCAATTGTTATCCGATCTCATAAGAAACTCTTCCACTGTAATAAAGCATTTGATTATACTATTGCAAGAAATGAATGAGCAATAGGTTTATTATAACTTTGTCACTGTAAAAAAAGTTAAGTGTTAATTGCGTATCTCTGCCTATTTTATCTGATATCAATGTATTTGAATTATGGTTGCCCCAAATTTTCATGGATTAGGTTTATGCCTTTACGGTTTTATAATCTTGTGCCTGATCTGTAGGTTTTGGATGAGATTCATCCCCAATCTTCGTCACTTCCACTATCTATGCTCTCACTCCCAGCTCCAGAGTCTGTTGTAAACTCGTTTCCTCTGAAAAATCACAAAAAGTCAGATGCAACTGAAAGCGAGACAAATGATGTGCAACAGTAAGTTCCTTTTTTCTCCCTCCTTTTATGTGAGACACAGTTTCATTCTTGTATATGGTAACTATAGTTTGATTCATGTGGTAGAAGTCCTAGGTATGCAGTTATGTAAAGTATGTTGGACAATTGCGGTAGTCTGCATAGGTCACATGCTGTCATTAGCGAAGGTGTAGAGAACTTACATATTCTTGTCCATGAGAATGTGGAACTAAATTTGGATAGCAGGGTGGCATGCTGATATGTTATTCATAATTCCTTTTTTCCTATCCTTGCTGTACTAAAGAAGATCTTTATGCCAAAATAAAATGATTTTCAAAAAGTTCACTGAGGCTAGATCATTGATACCAATAATATCCAAATACCAAATCCGCCTCCTATATAACGCCCGCGAAGTAGAATTCGCATGCCCCGAATAGGTGCAAAGGTGGTTATACATATCCATTTTATGCCCAGTTTTTTCTTTTCATCTCGATGTGCTGATAAATAGTAAAACGATTAACAGGTGTTACATTTGTTTGGCCGAGTACGACGAAGGGGACAAAATTAGAGTTCTCCCTTGCCATCATGAATATCATATGTCATGTGTTGATAAATGGCTTAAAGAAATACACCGGTATGTTCATTCTATCATCCTTCACTTTCTCTGTCTCTCTTTTGATTTTTAAAATTGAGTTTACTATTATTAATATTTTTCGTGGATATTTTATTTATTTATTTAACAAATTTTTTTTTTTTTTTGACTCCTCTGCTGGTGCTTCAGTGTATGCCCACTCTGCAGGTGCAATGTTTGTGGGGATATAGCCCAGGGTTCTGTCTCAAGTACAGAAATCCCATCTGAATGATGCAAATGTATACAGAGATACATGTAAATATGGTCACTTTTAGAAACGTCTGTATTTTGCTTTGCATCTGAATTTCAGTCACTTTTTATTACCCACCTTTGTATTATGTTAAAAAATAGGGTTTAGCCTGTATAATAATTTGCAATTCTATAATGTTGGGTTTATGCCTGTATTTTAATCATGGGTTTTACATGCGTATAATCTTCTTCCGCATAGTTCTGATTGCAACTAAAATATCAGGAAAATGGCACTAGTATTTGTATAATTATATTACTATTTTAAAGAAAGCGGGTTTCGGGTCGGCCTGATCTAGATCCGACTGGCCAAATTTACACCCCTGTTCATTTTTATCTAAAAAGCGATGCAAAATGAGGTCCAAATTTGCAACCTGATTTTTTGAGATTTGCTATGGGGAAGACTGGAGAGATAGTGTGATGATTTCTCGGATGAGAGAGAAAAAAACACACAGAGCCCTGGTAATCTGTTGGCAGAGAAAGTATTCAATACTCGGGTATTTTACACCCATCTCTATGCATAATCATATATATATTTATTAAACTATTAATTTTTCGTATATTAAGGTAAATTGAGAATTTTTATGTATTGAACGGGATTCCACGTGTAAGTATTCTCGAATATTGTATAGTTACTAAATTTTTCCCTAAAGCACGCTAGGCATGGTTCGGATGTGGATCCTATGCAGTAAGTGGAATTGTGGTGATTGAAAATTGAGTTGGAATTTTTTCACCCCTTAAGTTGCATTATTGGTTTGGGATCAAAATGGCACTCCTCAAAATTTAATGTTCTGAACATATATTTATGTTTTTATGTACCAGAAGACTAGACCATACCTGCCACAACAGCAAACATTTATTAGGATTCAAATGCTGTTGATTAAAGAGATCAGCCAAATTATACCTTTTGATAGTATGCCGTCTGTGTGTGTGTGTGTGAGAGAGAGAGAGAGAGAGAGACAGATTTTCACTTTGGAAATGAAACATCACTCATTATTATAGCTTAAGAAAAGTATGTCAAGGTCATTCTTCTCATCATACACTGGTTAGTCATTCCATAACAACACTGATTGTTACACCTACTTGAGTTCCGTTCTTTTATATTTTTACTTAAGTCAATCTCAATCTCAATCTCAAACCCAACCTCTTTCTCCAAATTGTACTTGAGATCAAAATTATAAGTAACATAAAACTTTAACAAAGTGTATTCATTATCTAAACCTACAATACAATAATCTCATATAAAAACATTTCAGATCATACAAAAGCATCAAATTTACATTCATTTGAATCGCAAGAAGGTCGAAGGAGAGAGAAGACAAGATTTCATACCATTTTGTCTTTAGATAAAGAGGGTGAAGTCAAAATTTATTACTAAGCGCACTCGCGACTGCACAAATATATAACCATTATATTTTTCTGTCTCACATCTGTGCTTATCACAACAAATTTTTCAAATTTTCTCTTAATTGACATTATATAATCTTCTTAAACTTGGTTGGATCAAACTCTTGTTTCATTTTGTTTTGCCAATCTATCTTGGATAAACTCATGATACTGATGAAAAGCTCTTGCAAGAAAAAGAGAACACATATAATACTAGCGTTCTTCAGAACAATCATATGAAGAGTAATGATGAAGGTGAATATGAAATTAGGACAAAACAAACACCATAATTTAAAAGTTTTTTTTTATATTTTTCCTTACAAGAGACAGACTGAAATAAATGAGATGTGCCTCAGAACAGCAACAAACAAAAATGCACATTACTGCACTTCTGTGTGTGGTAGGAGTGCTTCCTTTATATATATATATATATATTAAATTATTTGAAAAAATAAAACATACTTTTACTGGCTTACAAGAGCATGCCAAGAGTGTGAAGAAAGCAATATATATATATATATATATATATATATATATATATATATATATATATATATATATATATATATATGTATGTATGTATGTATGTATGTATAGTCAAACAGATATATATGGTACTATAATAATATTACTCATGTGCTAAGAGGATAGTGAGATAGTTATGTTAGCATTATAATAATAATGAAAAGGGTGGTGAGGTAGTTATGTTACTAAAATATAATTTATTGGAGGGTAATGAGGGGTCATGGTTGTAAACATTATGTGTGTGTGTGTGTGTGTGTATATATTATGGACTTCAATTTGGTCACCGCACTAAATGGGTTTGCCTCCTTTTTACACCACAGGCTTGCTGTCCATGAAATTGTACCAGCAAAGCTTCATTCTCTTGTTGTACAATTCAATAATCCACACACACACACACACACACACACATATATATCATATAATTGAAAATTTGTGATTAAACTTAGCATAGCTTAAATGTGCACATGTTTGACTTAATACAACAAATTTCTTAAATCACACACACCGATTACTCGTTAATCAGTAACCGAGTTTTCTGTTATTAGTTTTGCTAGAAATTTGTCCTGCTTGTTAATTTGTTCAGAAACAAATGAGTCAAACTCAAGCTTTGAAATTAGGGTTAGAAAAAAAAAAAACAAGCTTAAAAATTAGGGTGACTTTCTTTCATCAAAGCAAACTCGAGCTTAGAAGTTCGGGTTAGAAAGCTTAGAAATTAGAATTTTTTTTTTTTTTTTTCTTTTTAACTTTCTTTTGTCAAGCTTGTGTGCGATGAAAGAAAGATTTTCTTTGATGGGCCGATGTGGCGTAGGTGATTCTTTATTGATTCATTTCTATGATACTCAATGAGAAATACTTTCACGACCCTCGAAAATTTTATGTAAACACCAAATCGTTGATTTAATTCGGTTCTACCAAACGAAACAATAAATTTTATACAGCTTCTCATTACATCAACATTCAATTTTGAGTTGAATTGTCACATCTTAATTATTGTATCATGTAGACATTAAAATGTGGAGGGTAAAGCAATGGTACAATGCACCAAATAATTAAATGAAATTAGGAAAGACTAAGGGGCCTTTATTAAATGTGGTGTGGATATATGAACAAAAGCAAATAATAAGTCTCTCAACACTCGATGTGTAGATGGTAGAAGATACCCACTTTAGCTTTATTATAGGAGTTGCTCATGAATTCCATTACAAAAAGTTTGGTAATGTATAATATATATTATATTATAATATATTATATATGACTTGACTTGCTATTGAAAAAAGAAGTCTCCTTCAGAAAGAGGATTTGAGCAGTGGTTGCAATTTTCTCTTTATAACTCCTCTCTCAACAAGTTTTAGTGCTGTATGTGAATATATATATATATATATTCACATACAGCACTAAAACTTCTTTTTTCAATAGCAAGTCAAGTCATATATATATTTATAGGTTACCGAAAAGATGGAACAAAAGAGCAATTTATTTATTAGAATTTTGTTCCATCTAAACACAATTGATTATTTGAATTGGAATTTTTTTATTAATTTTGTGATGGAACTTATGATGTTATTCTTATTGATTAATTATATTTAATTAGTTTATTTTTCCATCATTATTGTGATATTATCAAATTTCATTAAATAAAAATTTATTTTATTATTTGTAACATTTAATCTATATAACAAATTATACATGTACGTATTTGTATTTAAATTTTTACATTTTCATTTTTTTCAGTCAAATTTTTATAACGTATTTAAAAAAATAAAAATAAATTATACTCCGTACATTTTTTAATCCGTTTTGTTTTCAGTATTTTACTATTTGAAGCTTTTACGCACTATAGTTAGATGGTTACGCGGCTACCAATCAAAATTCTCTGTTACATCCTTTTTTCTTTTTTTTTTTGGTTCGGCACACAATTTAAATTATAGAATACATCATTTTAACAAGTGAGTGATGTGATATTTTGTGTGCTACTAAATTGCACCAAAAAATAATTCATATTTGTGAAATTAAGGTCAATTTTAGCCAAATAAAAAACAAAGAAGGGTTGCGGGTACTAGATTCATTATCCATTTTGAAGCGTATGACTTGGTGGATTATTATAGCCTCACCTTGCTATCAAGCAGTCCACACACACACACACACACACACACACATATATATATTCATTCCAATTTAGTGCTAAATTGAATGAAAAAAATAATATTAGTATATTTCTACATTAAATGAATAAATAAAAACCTTCTATTTTAAGAGGTAAGTAAACAATTAAATCCCTTACTCTTACCCTTCTTCTTTTAAAGATATATATGCATATTGACTCTTGATTTGGTTTATATCCCAAAAAAAACGACATCTACTCCGTGCTAACAAATATAAAAATTCAGAGTTTACTATTTAGCCAAAAAAAAAAAAAAATTCAATTTCAAGGTTGGTATTGCCGTGTCATGTTAGTATCATTGACATGATTATTACATGCGTAACATGTTTAATAAATGAGTTAAGACTTGATACGATACGAAAAGACAAATTTAAGTAATTTTTTACATAACACGATATGTTTATTCTATACTTTTAGTTAAATGGGTTATTTTTTATATGAATACGACACGTTTGTCTGACATTTCGTTAATCGAGTTAATCATGTCATAATCGTGTTTATAAGTTCAAATACCAACATTAGCGGGTCAATTCGTATCAACATGATTACAATATGAAAACGATTAACTCAAACCCAAACCCAAACCCAAACCCAAACCCTCTTATCTCGTGTTGTGTCAAAAATTGTTACCAATAATTAGATTACATCAACAATTTGCAATAATAACCCACTCACTCGTGAGTAGGCAAATTTTGTGGTATTGAAATTGAAATTTATTTATTTATTTATTAATTTATTTATTTATTATTATTTTTTTGGCTAAGTAGGAAACTTTGAATTTTTATGTTTGTTAGCGCGGAATAGATGTTGTTTTTTTGGGATATAAACCAAATCAAGAGTCAACCTGCATATATATCTTTAAAAGAAGAAGGGTTAGAGTAAGGGATTTAATTGTTTACTTACCTCTTAAAATAGAAGGCTTTTATTTATCCATTTAATGCAGGCATATACTAATATTATTTTTTTCATTCAATTTAGCACTAAATTGAATATATATATATATATATATGGACTGCTTGATAACAAGGTGAGGCTATAATAATCCACCAAGTCATACGCTTCAAAATGGATAATGAATCTAGTACCCACAACCCCTTCTTTTTATCTTTTTCTTTTTTTTTTTTTTTGGCTAAAATTGACCTTAATTTCTCAAATATGCATTAGTTTTTGGTGCAATTTAATATCACACAAAAAATCACATCACTCACTTATTAAAATAATGTATTCTATAATTCAGTCACCTTATCTATCTCCTTATTTATTACTTTCATGATTTTGTGATTACAAAATATGTTTAGTCACCTCATCAATCTCCTTAATTATTACTTTCATGATTTTGTGATTACAGAATATGTATTTCCTTATTTATTATTTTTATATAAATTTGTAAGTATTTATTATTAGACCACAACCTTAGGGATGACGTACTCACCGGTATCTTATCCATTTCAAGTAGTTAAGTAAGTGATCGGGACCTAACATAATTCCTATATTACAGTAAATAATACAACTAACCCTTACTAAATGGCACCAAATTCGCGCATCTAATTAATTTGGTTCTTATTGGAGTCTTTAATTTCGTTTATATCTCCCCCCCCCCCCCCCCCCAAAAAAAAAAAAAAGAGAGAAAGGACGTAAAGAAGAGAAAAACTTTATATTTTATGTTTGGATCAGCAGATTAGCTGAACCTGTTAATTTATTTATTGAAATTGAAATTTATTAATTAATTAATTAATTAATTAATTATTTTTTTTTTGGCTAAGTAGGAAACTTTGAATTTTTATGTTTGTTAGCGCGGAATAGATGTTGTTTTTTTGGGATATAAACCAAATCAAGAGTCAACCTGCATATATATCTTTAAAAGAAGAAGGGTTAGAGTAAGGGATTTAATTATTTACTTACCTCTTAAAATAGAAGGCTTTTATTTATCCATTTAATGCAGGCATATACTAATATTATTTTTTTCATTCAATTTAGCACTAAATTGAATATATATATATATATATGGACTGCTTGATAACAAGGTGAGGCTATAATAATCCACCAAGTCATACGCTTCAAAATGGATAATGAATCTAGTACCCACAACCCCTTCTTTTTTTCTTTTTCTTTTTTTTTTTTGGCTAAAATTGACCTTAATTTCTCAAATATGCATTAGTTTTTGGTGCAATTTAATATCACACAAAAAATCACATCACTCACTTATTAAAATAATGTATTCTATAATTCAGTCACCTTATCGATCTCCTTATTTATTACTTTCATGATTTTGTGATTACAAAATATGTTTAGTCACCTCATCAATCTCCTTAATTATTACTTTCATGATTTTGTGATTACAGAATATGTATTTCTTTATTTATTACTTTTATATAAATTTGTAAGCATTTATTATTAGACCACAACCTTAGGGATGACATACTCACCGGTATCTTATCCATTTCAAGTAGTTAAGTAAGTGATCGGGACCTAACATAATTCCTATATTACAGTAAATAATACAACTAACCCTTACTAAATGGCACCAAATTCGTGCATCTAATTAATTTGGTTCTTATTGGAGTCTTTAATTTCGTTTATATCCCCCCCAAAAAAAAAAGAAAAGAGAAAGGACAAAAAGAAGAGAAAAACTTTATATTTTATGTTTGGATCAGCAGATTAGCTGAACCTGTTAATTCTTGCAGTGGACAGATACAAGAAGACTGCAGTGTACAGCTCCCACCTCTTAAAACCAACCTTTCTGCGGAGCATTCATTCATTTATTCAATTCGTGTGCCCGACTTACCTGCTAGTGCTAATACACACAGTTACACACACCATGTAGAGAGAGAAAGTATGTATATAATTGTGTATAGAGAGAGAGAGAGGGCCCAAAAACAACCATCCGTACGCCGTTGCCATTTAAGCCCCCCACCGTCCCTACTTACACGTGCCATTCACGTGCCTATAAAATCCTCTACGTGCCTCTCTTTCCTTCTCGTGACATCTCTTTTTCCTTTCCATCGCAATTCTCTCCTCAGTTCTGAAAGGAAACATTCATTTAAATCCCTCCCACCGGTCAATTAAATACTATGCGCAACCCACCACCCACCACCTCTCTCTCAAAAAATTTCACCTATCAAGTGACCTCATCAGCGACACCACCAGTCAATCCACATTTTCTCTCTTTCTCTCTCTAAAATGTCTCTTTTATATCCTCCACCGCCACTGGTCACCGACGTCGGAGGCACAACCACCGTGGAGCTACCTCAACCTCAACTCAACCACAGCGGCAATAACGCCGACGAGTCGGCGTCGTCGTCTTCGTCTTCCACCGTCATTGTGATAATCGTCATCGCCTCCGTCGTCATCGTCTCCGCCTCTCTCTACCTCCTCCTCCGCTTCTTCAGTCGCCGCTGCCACCGCTCGTTCCGTACGTACTCCGTCGCTGATGACGTCGTCTCCCCCGGCCAAGACGACTCGCACCGCGACCGCTCTGCACAAGGCGTCTCCGTGGCCCACAGTGATCTCATCGAGTCTCTGCCGCTCTTCTCCTTTGGTTCCGTCACCGGCAACGTCGCCGGTGGCGATTGTGCCGTATGTCTGTCGAAGTTTGAGCCAAATGATCAGCTGCGATTACTTCCGGTGTGTTGTCACGCCTTTCACGCGCAGTGCATCGACACGTGGCTTGTGTCGAATCAGACTTGTCCTCTGTGCAGGTCCACGGTACGTCCTACAGACTCGGACGTACTGAATAAAATACTCTCATCGTCATCAGCGGTCGAAGATGGCGGCAGTACCAGTTTTCGGATAGAGATTGGCAGTATAAGTCGGCGGCGAGCTGCGTCAGATTCCGGCGATGGTCGGAGGTCCTACTCGGTGGGATCGTTCGAGTACATTGTGGACGATGGCTATGAGGTGTCCATAGAGTCCACACACCGGCGAGGAGTCTCCGATTGTAGCTCTGTCGACAAGGATTTAACCGCCGCGACTCAGCCGCAGCCGCCGGGAGAGCACTTAGTTTTCGATGTCGCCGGCGGACGCAGTTGGCTGAGAGAGTACTTGGATCGATTCAATCTCTCATCACGCGCGGTTTCGTTTGGGAGCTCCGGCAGGTTCTTCACTGGAAGTAGTCGCCGGAGCGACACCGTCGTTCCTGTAGAGGATTTAGAGGCCAACCGCGTCGGAGAAGAGATCAGCGAATTGTTTCGCTGGTTATCAGGAGTATGATCTGTAAATTCAGTCCCAACTCAGGGGTAATTTCGTATTATTCTTTACTATTCTCATTACTACCAGGTCACATTCCTACATCCACTCGTCTTTTAATCTGGATGTAGCAAAAATTAGACAATCATATACTTAGTCAATTTTTGCTCAAATTACTTGTCAATAGTTTATAATTTTCAAGATTACAAATTTTCCCACTATTTTTGTTACATTTAGCAGTTAATTTGATATGATTTTTTTATTTTAATTTTTTAATTAGAGAAATCAGTTCACTTAATTTTGGGGACGTTACTTGTTGAGCTATGCTTATATTATGCGTTGACTAAAAAGAGTGTAGATTTATTTAATTATTGAAATTCATTGATTTATCTTAATTTTGGGGACGTTACTAGTTCAGCTTTGCTTATATGTTGACTAAAAAGAGTGTAGATTTAATTATGGAAATTCATTTGTCAAGCTTGCCGAGTTTGTTCACCAACAAGATAAAACATTTTTTTTATTTTTCTTTCTATTGTGGAAATTATTTTTGGAATTATGGAATGTTTGGTTTAACTTTATATTTGATTCTAAAAGGTCATTTTTGGATCAGATTTCAACCCGTTATATGGGTCTAAATTGTCCTATTGACTCTATTGAATAAAGACTTTTAATTAATGTGATTTATGCTCAAAATCCAATTACGATTAGATTAAATATGGACTAAGTAAGCTATTGATGCATATTAATCTTTTGTTTGACCTCTAACCCTAAGTTTAATCCCTTCCTCAGTTAGAGCAAAAGTAATTATGACAGATTTAACAAATATTTACCATTTACTATTTGAGGTCATTGCTACTCAATTACCAATTACATTAGTCCAGTACGAGAACATCATTACCTCGTGTTTGGAGGGGGTTGTGTGCAAGATGTTATGTACCAAAATTATGCCGGGTTGATGCTTTGCACGATTCCCAATATTAAACTTATGTTGGGTTTCGTGTCCACGCATCAAAACGGCGACGTCATTTATTAACTTGATCTTTTCTCTCCGAATGGATATTTATGATATGTTTGGATGGAATGATTTGGAGAAATAGAAAGAGAAATGAAATGACAGGACTCAAGTGAGTTTAATATTGGGAATAGCTTCTACGCATCAATTTCTCTTCTAATAGATATTTAGGATGTGTTTGGATGGAATGATTAAGAGGAACAGAGAGATGAGAAAAGAAAAGAAATGATATGATTCAAGTGTGTAATTTAGTGGTATTTTGATAATACCAAAACTAACCTCCACAAATAAAAAAGAATTAATCGCTTACAAATATAAAAGGGTAAGACAATAATTTAGTTATTATTCATTATTTTCTTTCCTATCTTCTATTTTATCCAAATAAGAATCACTATATTTTCCTTTCTTTTCTCTCCTATATGTAATTTGGTTATTATCTATTCTTTTCTTTTCTCTTCTCTTCTCTATCTTATTCAAATAAGAATAACTATTATTTGTTTTTTTTTCTCCCCTATCTATCCATGAAAAAAAATTATTACTATCATTTTTTTTCTTTTATCTCCTAACTAATACTTTTTTTTAAAAAAAAAAAAAAAAAAAAAATTTCTCATGTGTATCCAAAGGCACTATTAGTGTTTGAGTTTGTTAGCAACAATAATATGGGTAGTCATGAAAAAAAAAAAAAAAAAACAAAAAAAAAAAATCTGTCGCTCTGTTGTTAAATTGATTTTTTTTATGTCTACACATAATTCACATATTCAACTTGAGAAAAAAAAAAAAAAAAAACCTAGTATTTCACATGAAAGTTGGTTTTTGTAGTAAATGACAGTGAAGTAGAAGAATTATTTATCCAAATGATCTGATTGCATCAAAAATCTTGTGGGGCTATTATCATATTGTTAAGATTCCATGGCAGATAATTAAGTAGAATAATTTGAATCAGCCTATAATTCTATCGACCAATAAAAAAATAGAAATTGTACATTCCTCAGCTACCAACCAAATTGTGCTAACATGCCAACAAGACATAATGCCATTGCTTTTGTTTGGTAGGTCATCCATCTCTCCTGGGCCCACACAAAGTCCAATAAAGAAAGTCACAAACTCCACAAGAAACGTGGATCTTTTGTCATCTTGGGTGTCACACACCATGTCTTCACCCTCCTAAGTTTGCTCGCATTGTTTTCACATCAGCCTATCTTTTTGTAATCCAAACTTAGAGAATCAAATCAAAACCCTAACCCTAGAATACTGCAATAATAAAAAGAGGAGTTAATGTGGTGAGTTCATGGTGGGATGATGACAACTAGGTTGAGACAAGTGAAAAGAGTCAACTATTCAAAAAGGGTTTAAGGCTGGTAGACCTACACTCCCGAGATGTTTTCATTTGTTTCTTTTTAATGTGTAGTGTAGTGTAGTGAGAAAAGCGCACATAGGCGTAGAAAACATGGCTCATATATATCTAACAACATTAAAGCATTTTGCTTTTGTAAATTTTGTGTCTTTAGTGTGGATTTGACGTGCTCAACAAGCATTGTTATTATTCTTATGGTGATTCACCGTACAATGTGTTTATTAGCTTAAGCAGAAGAAAATACGGTCATTGTCAAAGGAATGACTATTGTTAGAGATTCTTGTCGCATGGCGAATTCTAAAAGAGAAGATCACCAACTCAAAGTTTAAGGGCCTGTTTGGCAACCACAGTTACTTGTTTAACGTCAAATCTAAATGGAGAAAGTCAATAGCTTATATACGCGGACGTGTATGCAACACCACATAAAGGCACACCTATCTTTTAAGTACACACCACTATTTATACTTTGTTGTCTTTTAAGTACACACCACTATTTATACTTTGTTGTGTTTTCATATTGAGGAAGCTCGATTTGTAATTCTAAGAATAATTTTTTATTTTTTGAAAATTAAAAACAAAAAAATGTACAGAAAAATTCTGGTTGATTCAGTTTTCTGAAAACTCTTATGAAAAGACATATTTTCAGAGAACTGTTTTTATAATTATTTGAAAATAATTTTCTGTTATCTAAATTTTTGATAACTACTTTTAGAATTACAAACCGAACAAGTCTTATCTTCTTTACTTTTGTCTCAGTCGAAATTATTTATTCTTTACTTTTGTCTCAGTCGAAATTATTTGCAAGCGCACACCCTCACACACAAAAAGGCATAATAATAATAATAATAATAATAAATAGATAAATCCTAATCATATATATATATATATATAGTAAGAGATTATGTATTAACAGAGAATTTGGATCCATTATCAGTTGGGATAAGGTGGCTTTTGTGACGTCTTGAGTAGGCACTAACCTTTATCGGTTCTTATCCTTTTTGTTAGATTTTATTGACTTTATACATGCGAACATTCATTTTGTGCAAGTGTACTTGTGTGTGAACCTAATAATACCTGACTTGTAGAAAAACTTAGGTCCAATTTAGATCGAGTCATTCTAAATAAATGAATTTATATTCAATTATTTAAGTATAAGTTTAGTTTAGGTGTAGTAGTTTAATTTCTACATGATGTGAAGATTGATTTAGAAAACTCCTACGCGTGTAGATTTATGGAATCAATGCATACAAGTATCTATTTAAATGCATATCAATACCTATCCAACCAAATTTAACAAGGAATCACTCATTTAAAGCTTGTAGTCCTTGATATCAAATCCGTTTATTCATCAAATTTGCCATTATTTTTTTTAAAAAAACTTGATATTACAATAATGCTCACGTGAGCTTAGAGTTTTTATCTTTTTTACATACTCGGTCAAACGGATAAGGAGATTTCTTTTTTTAAATCAGTCATAGAACATCCGTGAAATCGGACATTTAGCTTTGTTCTAATTTCTCTATGTTGCTGGCGCTTAAGAAAAAAGGAAAAAAATGACGTTCTTGGCTATTTTTAAATAGTTATAAAAGACTGAATGGGATTTCGGCCTTCCAGTTCCAAAGGTTCTCTAAAAATAAACATTTTTATAACTGAGTTTTCAAAATACAATTTTCAGAAAACTGAATCAAGCAAAATCTTTGTATAATTCTCTGATATTCAATTCTTTAGAGTAAAAAAATCTGGGTTTTAAACCAAGCAAACCCAAAATCTCTATGTTCTAATCGATGCATAATGGATTGTTATTCTACAGTTCCCATTTAATGAACAAGATCAAGAGCTTGAATTGTGGAGCACAATGATCACAATAACGAATAATAAATAAGAAATCAAAATGATTTAGCGCACTGAGCAGACTCACTTACCCTGGAATTGTGTAGGTGCCTTTGGATGTGACTTTAATTGCTGAATCAGTAAATCCATTTTAGGTAGCTGAACAACAACATTTCTTGCAGGTGCTCATATGTCACTACCACTTTATTCTAATTCTTTAGAGTGAATAATTTTATCTATGGAAAGGAGGCTGATTTGATCTCCTTCACTGCGTTTTAGTCAAGAAAAATCATATATCATCTGAAAGTCAGAAACACCGAGGCGCAGTGACACAAGGGTGAGGTAAGAAAAATGATTTAGAGTCCGAAAATCCAACAACTCAATTGATTTACATAAGAATAGACTTCAACCTCCAACATGTAGATTTGAAAGTCAGAAACTCCAAATAGAGTGATGTGAGGCGTAGTGAGGGTGAGGTCAGTCCCCCCAACTCACATACATCACCCCATTCAGGAAAATGATTTAGAGTCTCAAAGTCCGACAACTTCAACTGATTTATGTAAATAAATACTTTAACCTCCAACATGTAGATTCAACATGTAGATTTGTTGACTGTCAAACTCTCAAATATTACTATTTTAGGAGACTTCAACCTCCAACATTTAGATTAAATCTAACAAAGACTACTTTGTTTATTGGGTAAGTGGTATTCACCATTCCACCTTTCAAGAAGAGAGAACTTGAAACTATATTACCTAAGAAACAAGTTGGGATTTTGGATTGGCTGTAGTTTAAAAGTTCTCTCTTCCTACAGCTTATCAGTAAAACTATGGCAAAAGCAAAGCCCCATTGCAAGGTATCCTAGATTGTAATCCCAGCTAGGGATACCACAAAGCAAAGGGTAAAAAAATATAATAAGGCCCTGTTTGGGTAGTGTGCTGTAGTGTTCCCTACAGTGCTACAGTACCCATTTTCAGAACACATGCTGTTTGGGCCCAACTTGTTGTGTTCTCAACAGTAGTGGAACACCAAGGAACAAATCCAATATTTGGCCCAAAAACTGGAACAATAATTTGGTATTCTATGTTGTTCCAAGCCCATTTATTTTTACTGTAGCAAGATAATAATAAATTTTTCAGCCTCCCAATCGCCTCCGTCCCCATTCTCGTTCTCAACTCTGAACTTGCCCTAATCGCCTCCATCTCTATTCTCGTTCTCAACTCTGAACTTGCCCTAATTTCAGATCAAAAAAAAATCCCAAATCGCTTCCCAGTGGCGATTTCACGGCAAATCATTTCAACCTCCTAATCGCCTCCATCTCTATTCTCATTCTCAACTCTGAACTTGCCCTAATTTCAGATAAAAAAAAACTGTGAACTTGCTCTCTCTCTGTGCAAATGCAAATTACAAAATATACAAGCATTAGTTGCCCTATCTCTCCCTCTCTGCAACTGCAAACTACAAAATCTACAAGAATGGGTTTCATTTCAGATTGTTCAAAACCCATATCTTTCGGTCAAGTGTCAGGTCCACCTTTCTTTGAGACATTTTTTTGAACATATATATACTGATTTACAATATTGTTTGACCAGAGATGCAAGAGGAGGGGCGGGTCTCTTATTTGATGTGAGCTTTGCTCTCACTCTGTTCCAGACCTGTTACGGTAGAGTCAATATTTAGTTTGAAGTACAGTTATGCAATAAGAGAGAGAGCTACCTTGTGTGTATGGGTTTTCGCTGTTCCACTGTGTTTGGGTTTGCTTGTGTGTATGGGTCTCTACTCTCCAGCTTGCCCCCTCTCTCTGTGCAACTGCTAGCTTGTGTGTATGGGTTTTGTTTAATTTTTTTTTTTTTTTTTTCTAAATCAACTAATCAAGCTCTGTAATTCTTGTTTTGCAAACTAATGAAGCTCTATAATTAATTTAATTTAATCATCCAAAAAAAAAATATTAATTTCTATTCCAAAATTCTCACTCCAAATTTTTGTTCCAAACATGTTTTGTTCCCATTTCAGAACATCGCACTACAAAACACTTGTTCTGTTCTCTAGAACAGTACACTACATCACACTACACTTCCCAAACGGGTCCTAAGAAATTAACTTAATAACATCTTTAAAATAAGGGGTAAAAAAGATTAGCAATACAAATCACAATAACAAGATTAAATCAGCTTCCAAAAACAAGATTGTGATTTTACAACTAAGGGCTACCTCGTGCTAACCTGTTCCAAAATAAATAGCATACTACATACCTTTTTCATTTTGTTTTTGTATATCACAACATTCATGTTCTGGTAACATTCAGATCAAACCTAATGCCAAAAAACAACTTTTCGGCAAACCATATTCATGCAGATAAAATTCAAAAAATTGCTTTCTGCAATAAATTTCCCTCATTGAAATATATGTAGCGTGCAAGAAAAAACAATCATTACTGGACGAGAGAGAGAGAGAGAGGTGGAGGGGGGTGGGGGTTAGAACTCAAAGAGGCGCAACTCAATCATCCCTTCTTTCCTTTTTGGAGAATACCATGCTACCACTTTCCCAGATTGTAGGAGCCTCAAAGAGTAATTCAAGCTATATATGAGATCCTCCACTTGTGGCCTGCGTCTTCCAGATGATGAATCAAGCGACAACTTGGAATCTACTCGAAAGACAATTGGCCCTGCAACCTGAAGAATCAAAATATTGTAATTTGTATCCATTATATTATGGCTTTTGTCTCTGAGAAGAGATAGGAATTATTTGAATCTCACTCCAACAATGTTAAAAAGACATTACCCAGGGTAATCCTGTTTATTGAGGGTGCTGGGAAGGACAGATTGGATAAAATCTTTTACATTCTTCACACAAAGTAGCTGCTTTAAGGATTCGACCCCCGTTCTCACGCTTGACAACTTGAACATTTTACCACTAAGCAATCTTCCATTAAATATTTATCAATAATAACTCTCTCTGGTAGAGTTTGAGTTTTGAATGCTTTCCCTCTTGTTTTCGATTTTCAGGACACATCTTATTCAGCTCAAATCATCTTCTTCAAAGTTAGTTCAGCCCATTAATCCAAGGAGCATTTGCCAATGTCTCATTCAACAACCAAAAGAAAACAAAAGGATAAAACAAAAAAAAAAAAAAAGAAAGAAAGAGAGAAAGAGAATACATATCAACTCACTCCTTTTATTTCCTTTATAATATATTTGAAAAGAATGATCTTCCATGGTAATCTTAAGCACCCAAGCCAGAGGCTCCACAGATCTTCACAAGGAACAAATTATTTGAACAAACATCGATACCATTATAATCCTCTTTTTCTGGCTTAGCAGGGCTGAAATCTGTATATCACTCATCTAAGTTATAGGTCCACTTTTGGATTCTAGACTTCCTTTGGTGTAAGGTCATATGAGGATTTCAGTGTATTTGGTTCATTGATGAATTTTAATTAAATTCGAGTGTAAGATTCCTACTCTTTGTCGTTTCTCTCTTGGTTTAGTACTGAGAGAAAAAGGAAAGGGGGCTTTTGGGGCGATGGAGGGGTGGTGATTTGCAATATTTTCATTTTTAAAAGTATAAAACTAATTAAGGATGAAATTTTTTATTTTACTAAATTTAATCAATGAACTCTGACATGAGATGCCAATAGAATTAACACATTTTATCCGCTCGATTTCGTCAAACCTTACAAAGCTCAATGTAATATACCCCTTTTCTCTTTCTTTTAATTTTTCCTTTTTTGGGTTGCTATGTATTCATCAATATTACTACAGCAAAAAAGTTATTCAAAAAATATTAAGCAAATATAATTTTGATCATTTGCAATGTTTGATAGGATTCTTTATCAATAGCTGAACACACGAGACAACTACATGCAAATATAAACAAAAATACCTGCTGTTGAAAGATCAAATTGAGCTTTGGGGAAGGCGGTGCATTTTCTGCATTTGTAACTGAAGAACTACTGAAAATGTTGGAAACCTTTTTGGCTAAAGCCAAAGCTGAGCAGATATCCAGGCGAGCATCTATCCGAGTGAGGTCCCCGTATAACGTCCTGAAGCTCCCACGTTGGAAAGTGTAGCAAACTGAGCCAAATAAATCAGCAGTGAAAGGTGTTCTATTCCTAACACCCAGAGGAATGCTGTCCCCAGCTCCACTTGACTCAACAGCAACTGAGCTGTCCCTGCCCCAAAACCAGGCTCCACAGGTACCACCTGATATGTTTTTTTTTTTTGGTTATTAGAAGAAGAAAGTTAAAGGTAAAAACAATTAATGAAAGCACAAATCCTGATGGTGGCCACACACCCAAAATGACTAAGCTATCAATTTACATGTTCTTATCCCTTTAACATGTTTCTTCACATGACATGCCAAAGTTTTCTGAATAGGGAGTATGATCAACAACAATTGTCATATCAAGGGTTAACTTTCAATTGGATGGCAATTAAATGTGTTGAAAATTGCTAAATTGTACTTAAGGTTAATTGTAAAAAACCCCTTAAAATACAAGAAATCTGCACTTTAACCTGTGGAATAGGGGGTAATATGAAAATGTTTTTTAGTTCAAAGGGGTTATATGCAATTAATCCAAAAGGATAAATTGAAAATTCCAAAAAGTCCCAATTCTTTGACTAATTATTTCTCAACAGTTCCTGACAGAAGGGAGCATTAAGACACTTACCAGAGAATGATATGAAATATAGAATAGATTTACATACAACACAGAATTTAGAGTCCTCTAGAGATTAAGCAATGCATTTTTTTGATTAAAAGAACAACAAAATGGTGAAAACTAGGAGAAGAATAAGAAAATATCAACAAAATGGTGAAAGAAGAAGCCATAAGAACCATTTTAGTTTCAGTTTTCCTGGTGATTAGAATTTCTTCCTACAGCTTACTCCAATTGATGGCTTAAAAACACAGGAAAATAAACTATGATGCAAACAAAGCAGCACTACTCTACAATCTATGGTTTGGTATAAACAACAAAAATTGGGGAACTTGTACCACATAAAAAAAACATAACAGATTTATAGAAAAAGGTCAAATCAGATGAAATCTTGTTTTACCCAGAAAGATATTTATCAAAATTACAATAAAAGAATATTTGGTAAGGTTACAAGATTACCGATAATTCCAGATATTGCTGAATGAGGTTCTTTTAAACGAATATCGTACGAAGGCCTCCAGAATTGACCCTTGTCTGTCTCCTCAATGAGATCCTTTTTCGTCTCCTTCTGCCTCCAAATGTCCTTGCTCTTCTCATAAGAGAATGCAGCCTTTGCACATAATCCATGCATTAAGGCAAGAGGTGCCTCGCCATTAATAGAATTAACAGCCTTGGGATGACCACTATTTTTGTGTATACCAAAACGATATCGTAACCCAGATTCTGAAACAAGGGAACAGCAATCCAATGAAATTGATTCAGGAACATCCCAATATTTTCCATTACGATCTATGAACAGTCCAGGCCATGCTGCCTCCATTGTAATATCATGATTAGGAAGCTGCAAATACAAATGACAGGTTAAGGGCAAAAAAAATGAACTCCATGCACCATAGAACCACACAACTCATGCATCCACATATCTGAAAAAACAATAAAAAAAAATAATACAGTATAACTTTAGAAAGAAAAAATCAATTAGCATAGGAAAAGTTCGAAACATTAGCGTTCTCTAACATGGACACTTCTCTAAGTCTAAGTATTTAAAGCCAACATGGAGTCTTAAGAGTTTTAGCCAGCAAGTAACTCATTCTTAGAGACCATATATAATTTTCAAAGAACATATTTAAGTAAGATGCTACTATTGAAAGAATCTACCCTTCAAGGAAGAAGGAAGTTGTGTTCTAAATTATGATGTGATGAATCTGATTTTATAGGCTCAAACTTTTTACCATATAACTGGAATTGTCAACAAGATTTAATCTCAATGGTTAGCAAACAAACAAACACACACACACATATATATAAAGGAGGTAAGAGGAAAAATATAGAGAAAACTACACATCGGCGCAACCCCCCCCCCCCTCCAACACACACACACACACACAAAAATAATACATCCACAAAGATCACATGAACACAGGCCCCTTTGGACTCAACTAGACACCTAGGCCCTAGCACATGAAAGTAGCAATTTCAACCTGTGGTGCTCCCTTTAGATTTGCTACTTCAAACAATGAGGCAAAAATTTTGAGCCCTCTTTCCTCAGCAATTTGTCACAAGAAAATCAAGTGGATTTAGTGTTACATCAAAGTGCTATCAAAGTACGATATGTGCACGAAGTTGATCTCACAGTAGATGAGATTGAGACACAGCTCCTGCTGGTGTTTGTGTTGGAGCCATGTTCCATAAGGAAAATTTAACCAACTGATCCTTGGATTCTATCAGAAATCCAAGACCAAGAAATTCTGATTAGGGAGCAAATGATTTTACTTTGAACAATCCAGCTGAAGATGCACCGAAAAATCCTAAGAAGAATTCATGAGAGCCATTGAGAACCGTGGTGATGTAAGCTTCAATATTAATTTTTTTAATAGATATTCAAAATCTCAAGAATATTTTAAATAATTATAGTTTGTTTTGTTGTATACTTGTATGAGTTAAAAGAGGTTAACAAGAAGAAACTTAAAAATAGTTAGATTAAGTAATAGGGTAATGCAGCAATACTGCAGGTTCTAATGCAGCAAAAGCACTTAAACAAAGAGCGAGCCAAAATTAATAATTGGTAAAAAGACATGAGAACGGCTAAAATAATGTTAAACAAAGATTATATATTGCAATAAAGGTTATTTTAATCACAATAAAGAGTTCAAGGTGAATGTTCTTTGAATGAACAAAATGAAAATTTCTATCACCATCTGATTGTGCTTGAAGGAAGCAAACAATCAAATAGAGGCTTGCTACATCAAAGATGTTGGAGGAAATCAGAGATGAAATCGAAAAAGTACTTTTTGAGCTGATGCTTTTCATATTTGTATCATGATAAAGGTGGAGAAGTTTGTTGACAACAATCAAAGGTGGATTAAAGATTAAGCCATAAACATTAAATACGGAATCTGACATACCACATAGGTGATTAACATGTTGAAATTTCGCACTCTGTTCCCAGCACACGACTTGTTTAGGTTACCAAAGAGACAAAATTGAAAATTATAAAACTGTGATACACAATGCCACAATAGTCCAGTCATTAAGCTTTTAGCACTAGTAATTTGTAATTCACCTTTTTAAGAAATGACATGAAGTAAATTTGCTACAAGACAACCGCATAATTTAAAATAAATCACAACAGTGTCACCTCTACATTTTATCAGTTGATATAACAATTATAAATCCAATTACCCGATAGAAAAAACTCAAAAAATCTAACACATCCATAGACTTTCATAAAGTTTCTTGCTGTACTCATACAGTCGTAAGATCACCACAACGTGACATTTCTTCCATTTTCTAAGAGCAAGCTCTATAGCAAATATTAGTTGCAGGAGCTACTGTGGTATGAAAGATTATTCTATTGAAGGGCTGTTACAACTTATATCATTTGGATAATATTATAACAGCAATTAACCTTTTTACGATATTGCGTGAAGACAAATTTTAAAATTTCTATGTAGCTTAAACTTAAAGGTTTTGTAGTAAATTATGAATCAATTATAAGGAGAGAGGGAAAGAGAGAATAAAATAAGAACAATAAAATAGAAGAAAAATTGAAAAGACAATAGAACAAGGTCTAATGTAAAAATACAATCAAACTTGTCGAATCTTATCCATAATACAATGATGAAGGTGGAGAGTAATGCTTACCTTATGAAAAAGCATGGCCTTGGTGCGGCGACCCTTCTTCTCCCCATGTGCTTCTGTACTCAACAATAAGGATGATGAGGAATTCAGAGAAAACTGTGAGCAGAGGCCGAGAGAATAAAGTGACTTGTCCAAAAAGTGCTTGGCAACATCTTTAATTGCAAGCAGCTCCCACTCATCCATGCTAGCCACTTCTTCTTTAATGGAAGATATTAATTTTTTCGGACGGAATTGTGCAATTAATCCAACCCACCTATACATTTAAAGGTTATACAACATATGCATTAGTATGTTAACAAATTGAGAATGCAAGTGAATCCAGTAAACACGGAAAACTAGTTCTCAACTCTTTAACCAATAATCCAAACCCTCTTCTTGCTAGGACGTATGATAAACAACAAACTCTATGAGGTTATACCACCGATTTCACAAACATCAAGCTGGAAAATCAGTGGAAGAGTGTATATATATCAAATCATACATTTGACAAATAACTAAATAAACATTCAAGTCAAAAGTAAATGGTGAGGTTGAGAAAAAAAATATGTAAAAATTTACCCCAAAACCTAACCACTTTTTCAAACAATGGAGTTTAAATGTTCATGTAATCATTAATATATTATACGCAACATGACTGCATTCTAATTAACTCCAATTTCAGTGAGCATCTACCGAAATCCTTTCCCTTCAAAGGCATTAGAGTAATATCAATTACACGAAAAAGTGAGATCAACAATAAAGTACAAGCAAATTCCATTGTAAAGATAATTGTTAAAGATAACAAAAAATTTCAGTTCCTTTCAGATTCCTACATTTCCTCAGTAACTAGATGGAAGAGTCATGTCCGTGTTTGGCTGCTGAGAAAATAGAGAAAACAAGCATAAACTTAAAACTATTGGAGTATTGGGTCTTCCATTTCTCTTTCTTTTTTCAACTCAATTCACCCACAGTTGGCCCAATTTAACAGAACTAGTCAATTTCAGTGATAACAAAATTCACATATCTGAATAATATATTTTCCATCTCTTTCCTTTCCAATATATTTTCTATTCATCTTTTCTTTCAAAGAATTTTCAGCAATTTCTCGGCAACCAAACATGGAATTAAAATTAAAAATGACTCAAAATTTTCAGTTCCTTTCAGCTTCCTACATTTCCTCAGCAACCAGATGGAAGAGTCATGCCCCTTTGGCTGCTGAGAAAACAGAAATCGAAAATAAACTTCAAGCTATTGGAGTATTGGGCTTCATTTTCACTTAATATATTCAACTCAGTTCACCCATCATCAGCTCAATTTAAAGGACCTCGTCAATTTTAGTGATAATTCAAATTTCAGAATAATTTAGCTCAGTAAAATAAAAATAAAAAATAAAAAAACATATCATGTATAATATATATATATATATACACAGAGAGAGAGAGAGAGAAAGAGAGAGAAGAGGATAGGGGTATTTGATTACCAGTTAGAGAAGTTTTGTCTGAGCAAGAGAGACTGGAGAGAGAAAGAACCCAACTCCTTGTGAGCAGTAGGGGCATAAGAAGGTATAATACCTAGAGGAAAGCCATTGCCCAGAAGCGAGAGCTGTTGAATCCTGAGTGCTCGGCTGCCTCGAGCACCGTCGACCGGGAAGGGCTCGCCGGGTATGGACCGAGCAGTGCCATCTAGGGTTTGTGGACTCGCAATGTCTTGGTTCCAAAATGCTGAGTCCATCGCCGTCCTCAGGTTAGCCATTTGAGTCAACCCCTCAGGCTCGCTCGCTCTCTCTCTCTATATAACTTTCTCTCTCTTCTTCTTGTTGGTGTTGTAGTGCGGTGTGATTCCTTATCTATGAGTTTGGTGCAGTTTTTTTGAAATTGGAAGGAAGTGAGTGAGTGAGAGAGTTTGTTTGGGTTTTGGTTTTGGGCGTTTTCTTTTGTTTGTTTGTTTGCTTGCTTTTCTTTTCTTTTTTGCACTTTTGAGAGGGTTTTAGAATTTGTAGGCGGCAAATTGTAAATTGTAAGGGGTTTATTGTTGTGTTATTAGTATTACTTTTTGTTTTTTTTTGGAGCTATTTGAAATGAATTGTGCTTTACATGCAATATGGCATCAAATATCAACGATCATAATCTTGTTTCAGGTTAATTTAGCATATTTCAAAGGAGGTTCCATTCTATTTCACCCAAATGCTCTCAATTTCTAGCTATTGGTAAATTTTACTATTATCAGAGGTAATTCTCAATATTATAATTATAAAATTTTACTTATTTAAATTTCATTATTATTTACTTACAGGTGAAATTTGTTTTATTACTGATAAATTTTAGTAATATAATGATACAAATACAATTTTACTTGTTTAAATTTTGCTATTACTTATTGGTGAAAGTAATAGCGGAATTTAATCATTAATTGTGATACAATTCACGAATTTGAGTAAATGTTAGTTGAGATTTCAGGCGGGTTTAAGGTATAATTTGAATTCAACTCACCATACGAAATGCTAAACTTAAGCCTAACCCTAACCATATATTCAACATTAACTACTCAACCCAAGTTCAATCCATCTTTCTATTTTTAAATTCGGCCTTGCAACTCGGGCTTAGATTTCTGGGAAAAATTTCAGGTTAATTTAGTTTATTCATATGGCTAATCCTTACATTGAAAAATTAATATTATCTTGAATTAGTCTTAGATTAAATTACTCCTAAATAATATAAAGTTTAAAGACTTTTTGTAAATTTTTAGTAAATTACAAACAAATTTTTAAAAAATTAATTCTCCTGAATGTTACATACAATAAGTTAATATTTAACAAAATAAATTAAAAAAAAGAAGTAATCATAATTTAAATATCATATATAATGTATTTAAAAGTATATATATATAATTCGAATTCGGGTTGGCACAAATTGCTAGCACTTCAACTTGATATATGATTTAATTTAAAAACAGAATAAAAATCTCAAATGTGTCCAAATTAATTAGGTAGACTTTTATTATTATATAATGGACATATTATTCATTTACATACATTATCTTTTATAAGACAATAAGGGTTAGAAGTTAGATTAATAGGTGCAAAGAGTCGAAGGCTGACACTCTCAAAATCCGCCAAAGACACTAACCACTTGGCTATCGAGGCATCTGTCTCTAAATGAATCCCTAAGAGCACATTATCCTCTAAATTACTGTTTAATAAATGCATTTTTTTTTTGTTTTTTTTTTTTAAAAAAAGAAAGAGTTAAGATCATGCTTCACACGTGAGGGTCACACGCTTTCTTTCTCACTCACTAGTTGGGTGGGCACCAAAAACATGTTTGTGGGCTTCTCCTTGTTGGATTGGGCTTGCTGCCATGTTTTGTAATGTCCACAAGACTGTGATCTGTGGACCAAAACCTATTTATGGGCTTTTAAAAAAACCAAAGAGATTACTTTCACTAAAATTTCATCAAATATCATCTTTAAATATCTCTCAAAATTAATTACCACTCTAACCCTAATTTCCTTTTCCTTTTCAGTTACTTTTTCCATTAAAATGGTACAAAATGTCTATTTTATTCATACCTTTTAATTTATTTTGGATCCCCCCCCCCCCCAAAACTCTCATTTGCTACCAATTTGTATCTCCTCGCGCGCGTGCACACACATAATAAATAAATATATATATATATATATATATATATATATATATAATATAAATTATATGAATTATATTATATATATAATATAATTCATATAATTTATATTATATATATATATATATATATATATATATATATAGATAAATAGTTGTAGAAAACACAATAACCGTCCGAGATCGCAAATTTCAATCTCGGACGATCATAAATCCCTTTATTTCCTCTGCTTATCATTTTCTCCAAAAACCCCCAATTGACCAAACTTAAAGCCTTTTATATGTATATATATATATATATATATATATATATATATATAGGTTGTAATTAGACTTTCCGATTGGTCTCAGTTGGATCAGAACGTAGCTTTGGCTTCAGTTGGACATCTATTTACCCAATAAGAAAGAAGCTTTGGTTTTGTTTATCTCACTGATTTGGGTCTTTTTACCCAATAAGAAAGAAGCTTTGGTTTTGTTTATCTCACTGATTTGGGTCTTTTGAAATTTACGGTTTTTGGGTCTATTGAGGCTCACCGATTTTGGTATGTTGAAGTCACCGATTTTGAGTTTGTTGAAGCTTGACGATTTTGGATATAACTGAGGCTCCTCTCTTGCTAACAGTAATGAAGAAGAAGAAAATAAAATAAAAAAATAGAGAAAAAAAGATATATATATAAAGAAGAAAAGGAGGAGAAACCAAACACATTTTTATTTTTATTTTTATTTTTTATATGCATGTTAGTCCTAACACATTTTTATTTCACCTCACTTTCAGACCTCTTGCTTGTACAAAGAACATCACGTACTCTTCCATTAACCCCAAATTTCACCCAGTCATTTCATATGGAAATAGCATAGTTAAAAAGTTTGTTTAATCTTTTTCGGACACTAACCAACTTCTTCAATAGGGCATTGATTCTTTTGCTTTTTTCTGAGTGGTTTTAAATGTTTTCAATTTATTAAGATAATAACTTGGCAAAAACATTATGTTCAGAAAATGACACTCTTAATGCAAATTTTTTATGGTCTACATTTTATATGTACCAACTTCACCAGACTCACTCTTAACATCAATATTACTAACCTCCTGAACTACTTCTACTCATTAACTTGCTCATAAAGTTACATCTCCATTCTCGTAAGCAAGGGCGGATGCAGGAGGGTCGGGTGGGCTTGAGCCCCCCAAATTTTATATTTAATTATTACTATAGGTAAATTTAGTCCAATTAAAAAATATAAATAAAATAAAATAAAAATTAGTAGTATTAACCCTCAAATATTAGCCCATCCAAACAAACCCAATAGTTAAGTCACAGTTTTAAAATAAAGGCTCAACCAAACAGGCCCAAGCCAAACAAACCCTAAATTCCTAATACATCAACTGGTGTAGATAGATATGCTTATAAACGGCTAGGCTTTTAAGTTTTTCGGTTGATAGATCAGAAAACATCCTAGTTTATCGGTTGATGGATCAGAAAACATCCCAGCTTGCATTTGGAGAGGGAAGAGCAACTAGGACATCTGACCTCACTTAAATTTATATTTAATATTAGTTCTCATTGACAATTCCTAAATTCGCCTTTGTCCATAAGTCTCAACCCATTCAGTCCTAAATCCAAGCTAGTCTTTATTAGACAAGAATTACAGTTTGCCTACTAAAAACAATTCTTCCAGATACAATTCCTAACACCTGGTATACAAGGCCTCCATTCAATTCGACTAATTTGTTCAATTAGATGACCCATACTGCCATGCATATTAAATTTTCATGCAATGTTTCATAAAAGAATTTCCGTGATGCCTAACATGTTAGTTATGAAACTGTTTGAATAAATAACAAACCAAATGAACACATGTCAATTAGCAGACCTAGCAAGTATGGTGGGTGTTATTTGAATGCTTGGTTGCTCTCGAATTCGTGTTCGAACCTTGCACCCTTTCCTACCCTCTAACAACTAACACCTAATATTCCTGAGTGAAAAAAAAAAAAAAAAATGATATTAGCGCCCCAAAATTTGATCCGATAATTCGATAATTCGAATCTGATCCGATAATTCGAATGATATGAATTGAAGATTTAATCCGATAATTCTTTAACAAATCGGATATGAATTTTGATCAACCGTTCCGATAATAAATCAATCCGAAATAATATTTTATATAATATATTATATTTTAACATATTATTAATATTTTCTTATCATTATTATAGAAAGTATAAAATCAGCAATTAAAGACCAAATATGCCTTGGGATGATAGCTTTATTTGATGTTTCAATATTGGCAAAGGAGAGGTGAGTGGGCTCTAAATCTTTACCTCTCCACTGGTGGAAGTGTTTGTTGAGATTAGGGCTTCTGTAATTGAGGAGATCACATCCATTGCAATGACAAATAGAGAGGAAGTGTTTGTAGACTTGTTCTAGCTGCAAAATGCTATTTTCTCATATTTTGCATGAAAATTTTGTATAAAAATTCAGCCAATTTTATACCTTCTTTAAACAATTAGCTAGTCATCTCTACATTTGCATATCCTAATAACCATTTGTTTTTTATACAGAACCTAGTGCCACTGAACTATTTCAATTAGCAAATGCTTCATAAAGAAATTGTTAAGGACAGTAAATTACAGAAAATTTTCATGTAATGTATCACAAAAAAATTTCATCATATATATCCAACATGTTATTTATGGAACTATTTGAAAAGCAAATTAAATTAACACGTCTACAAGGATGTCAAAAGAACAATAAGAATAGGGTAGTAATAATATTAGCGCCCCAAAATTTTACTCCAACTCTCAATAAAATAAAATACTCATGCCAAAAAAACAATTTTTTTTTTTGAAAGGTAAAAAAAAAAAAAAAAAACACTTGTTCTGCATGGCTTCAACGAGATTCTTGGCGTCTCATTTCTCTCTCCTTCCTCTCTCAAGTTCCTATCTTCCCATCGGCAATGCCTGATCATCTTCAAACTCTCAAATCTTTTCGGTTATTAGTGAGCCAAGGCGACTGCCCTCTTACTCTGCCAAAGCTTCACACCAGCTGTGACCGACTGCTGCCGTCTCTCCCACCGCCCAAAACCTCGGTACATAGTTTAAATTTCACAAAAGGAAGGAAATGTTAGGGTTTAGTGGCAGAGAGAAAATAAAAGAACGATTGCCTAGAAGGGATGATAGATTTGTTGGGGATAATTCAACTCCCTCCAACCCACTCAATGGTTGGCTGTTGTTGAGAGTTAAATCCCTCTTTCATCACACACAGCGGAAGTATCATCACATCACATCAACACAAGCATATATGGAGATAACAATCATACACATCAACGCATAACACAATATTTTACATGGTTCACCCAACTCTAGAGTTACGTCCATGGGAGAGAGAGATTTCACTATTATGAATCAAAGAAGAGAATATACAACCACATGTCAAAACCGCACTTACTCACCCATCATCTCTTTTGAGGCTACATGTATACACTTGGGAATTACATATACTCTCCCTTCTCCTCACAACACTCATCCTTAAACCCCTTACATCTTTTCTCTCTTCTCTCTCTAAACCCCTCATACCCATCTCTATTTATAGAGTTTTCAAAACTCAATTCCTTGTTGGACAAGTATTCCTCAAATCCAATTTCTTGTTGGACAAGGATCAACTTACCTACAAGGAGTTACCATATCCATCTTCAACTCTAAAATAGCAGGTATAACTTTTTTCCCAAATCTTTAGCCTTTTTTCCCAAGTCTTCTGGATTTTAAAACCAATCAGGAAACTATTTCTCGCAGCTTCAAAAACGAAAAAAAGGAAACTAATTTTCTGCGCACAAATTTTGAGCCACAAACCTAACAATCTCCACCTTGGCTCAAAATTCTATCTTCACGTGTTTCCCCATAGCTCCACCTTGAACAAGAATCTCTTCATAACTCCACCTCAAGCTCTTCATAGCTCCACCTCAACTGAAAATTTCTCCACCTCAAATAAAGCACTATGATGAACTTGAGAAACACTCTAACAATCTCCACCTTTTCTCAAATTCATCATTCTTCATTTTTTCTTCTATCTTCTCTATCTACCCCATTGGTGTTAAATTGCTCACGCATGGCAACCTACCAATCTTCAAACTCATCTTCATCAATTGATTTTCTGGATCAAAGCAACAAACCTCTCCTCTTCACTCTTCATACTCCCCATCTTGAGAACTAGCACTCACTCTTGACTTGCCCTCAAAACTTATTCCTCGTGGGCTTCACCTCTATCACCTTTGCCCCATCTTGAAAACGAGCATCCTCTAGCTTGTCACAAGACTTGTTCCTCATGGGCTTCACGCTATCACCTTCTTCATACCTTCGTGTCATCATCAACTTTGATTGAATCTCCATAGCACATCACTATCATCATCTGCTCTGACAAACTTCGCAGCAATCTTCTTCTACTAATCTTCAGGACCACATGCTCTGACCCACCATCGACTCTGATACCAGTTGTTGGGGATAATTCAACTCCTTCCAACCCACTCAATGGTTGGCTATTGATGAGAGTTAAATCCCTCTTTCATCACACACAGCAGAAGCATCATCACATCACATCAACACAAGCATATATGGAGATAACAATCATAAACATCAACGCATAACACAATATTTTACATGGTTCACTCAACTCTAGGGTTATGTCCATGGGAGAGAGAGATTTCACTATTATAAATCAAAAAAGAGAATATACAACCACATGTCAAAACCCCCCTCACTCACTCATCATCTCTTTTGAAACTACATGTATACACTTGGAAATTACATATATTCTCCCCTCTCCTCACAACACTCACCTTTAAACCCCTTACATCTTTTCTCTCTTCTCTCTAAACCCCTCATACCCATCTCTATTTATAGAGTCTTCAAAACTCAATTCCTTATTGGACAAGTATTCCTCAAATCCAATTTCTTATTGGACAAAGATCAACTTACCTACAAGGAGTTACCATATCCATCTTCAACTCTAAAATAGCAGGTATAACTTCTTTCCCAAATCTTTAGCCTTTTTTCAAAAGTCTTCTGGATTCCAAAATCAATCAGGAAACTATTTCTCGCAGCTTCAAAAACGAAAAAAAGGAAACTAATTTTTTACGCACAAATTTTGAGCCACAAACCTAACAAGATATGTTCGGATTGAGGTCAATTTTGTCATTTCAAGTGTAGAGCGCGGCCCTACATTTTTTTATTATTATTTTTTTTTTATTTTTTTTATTTTTTTTTTTGGGAGCACCTCAATCATTGCCCTAAAAATACCGTCACTCAGTTCAGTAGTAATAGTCTCTTTTCCAGAGTAAAACTTTTTAAAGAACATGCTATTACTCTAACCTTTTTGAGGGTGATCAAGTTATGTATATCCTTTCAAATTTAAATATTATAAAAAAGGTGTATTTATCTTATTTGAATAAAAGTATTTTGAGACGGCCCAAAAACGGAGTACAATCTTGGCCACACAAATTGATTGAAAAACCGAAAGTAGAATGTCCAAATTCTATCATTAATTTTTATTTAGAAATGTGTTTGCAGCTGTGATTAACTTCCAACCTATATCCCCTTTACAACCATATAAAAACCATCCCTTTAATGAAAACTAAAAATTTGACATTCTCCAATTAACTAGAGAAAAAAAGAAGATGAAGCCTGCCTCCTGCTTCTTCTCTCTTTTTCTCTTCTTTTTCACCTTCCATGTGATCACAACTAGCTCCCTTAACCTCAACTCCATCTACGACACTTGCAAAATATGTGCTAAAGACGAACCGAATCCAAATGAAAAGCTCAGTCTCTGCAAAACATCCATTGATGAATCTATCAAGCACTTGAACCAGGAGGAAAAAGCCGAAGTTACCCGCCGTTTTGTTGGGAAGAACATAACGAGGATACTCAAAAGTAATGTGAATGAAACAATGAAACACATCCAAGGGTTGCTCGGAAACAAGAAAGTTAATAATAATGCAGCTATGACCACATGCCTCCAAAATTGCTTGGAACTCCACAAGGATGTTGCTAAACCTTCCATGGGTAAGGTGTTGAAATACTTGCAAACTAAGAATTATCAGGAAGCTATGGTAGAGATAAGTGCAGTCATGAATGTTCCTATAGTTTGTGAGGATGGATTCAAGGATATGAATGGTTTAGCTTCGCCATTGGCGAATAGAAATGGTCGTACATTTCAATTGGGTTCGTTGGCATTGTGCTTTTTAGATGTGATTCAGGGTGAGAAAGCATTAAATTAACTGATCTTGGTACTAATTTTTTTTATATATATTCATTGTTATGTGGTGGACTACATGATATCTTGTTTCATTTTCTGTTTTTTTTAGTAAGTATTCGCTTCTTAAAGATTGTTTTATTTTTTCATATAAATCAAGCAATATATATATATATATATATATTAGACAAAAGTATATATCATTTATTCTTCTTGTCATGTTTTTGTGACTCTTGGGTTCATTTATATGTGCATGCACAAGTGAAAATTAGATGGAGTGAGTTCTATTTCCGTTTCAAAAATACCCAAAGACCCATGTACTATTGATTGATGCTATTAAGGGTGACGATATTTTTTCAGTAATTGTTGGACTCGTGAGGATCTGCATATGTCAACAGTGGATTATAGAGTGTTCTGAAAAGAACACCATCAGAAAAAAATATAAAATCTGAGCCATGCAAGCTTCTTTTTGCCCAACAGAAGGACTCGGCTACTTCAAATAAGAGGCGGAAGAGAATGGGATTTGCCTACTTCCCGCATCCAAGGTCGCTTGATGGCTAGCTGTTAGAGGTGTCCAACCTCAGATTTGAATGAGAAAGTGAAATGAATATATACTGGTTGGGAGTTAGATCTACCTAATAATTTAATTTTTTTGATTGGATCGCAAAACACTCGGTCCATTACAATTGGTATTCGAGCTACACTCAATCTTTCATCTAGCCAGAGGTGTCTGGATTTGCCCGAGTGGGAGGGTGGGGTAGAATGTTAAAAATGTCCCACATTAAATCCAAATGGAAATTCATTAATTATGAACCCTTTTGCTAATGGAAATAGTAAATTGAATGGCACTAGGCTCTGATTGAAAAACAAAAGGTTTCTAGGACATGCACATTCAATTAAGGCACAAATTATTATTATTTATTTTTATCGGTGGTGGTGTTAAGTCTCTTGAAACACGCTTGTAATCGAGCGCCAGACGCATGCAGTCCCCTGGGGGAGTAATTCCAAACAAAATCCCTTGAATGTCCCCAAGGAAAAGAAAGTGTAGTTTTTCTATTAACAAGGAGGTATAGCATTTTAGTTGCCTGGAATAGAACTTCTAATTATGAATGCGATTCAGCATGGGTCACAGTGATCTGGGTCTATGTTGACATGAATTTCTCACACATTGTTAAAGGTGTAATGCTTCTGAGAGCACTTTCTCATGAGAAGAGTTATGAATTTTTTTTGAATTGAAACAATTTTTTAAAATATACCAAAAATCAAATGAATTATTTAATACACATTTCAATTCAGAAATTAAGAAAAAATAGTTCATTACTCTTCTAACAATGGGTTAGATCAAACCTAACAGGAATGCTAGTTTGGTAATTTCTATCTCTTGGAATTTCTATTCCAATGGATTGTTAAAGATAGAAAACTTTGTTAGGTGTCTTATTTGTTAAAATTAAAAATTGTGGATTCCAGTCTCTTCAAAATATTGTGGGAGTTTTTTTTTGGGTCCGAAGACAATCTGGACCAGCGAAAAGAAATAATAAATAAAATAAATAATAATAATAAATATATATCATCGTGTCTCCAAAAATATATAAAGATCAATACGAGAATGGAAAATGATTCTTAAACTGAATTGAATTATATTAATCTATAAATCATACCTTCATAAAAATTAAAATTATGAACGAACATACCCAATTAACAAAAAAAAATGTAAAGTATCACAAAAAGAATTTTCATGATACCAACATGTTAGTTAAGGAACTGTTTGCATAACCAATTAAATTTACACGTCTATAAAGGTTGTCAAAATAGCAATAAAAAAAAGGTTGGTCCCAAAATTGTCCTCTTGGGCCCAATGTTATTTTCTATAAAATAAATATATAAAAAAGAGTGTAGTACAATGACACCCATTGCTATATGGATAGTCATATACAAGTTGGTTATTTTTTGAAAATATAAAATTGTCCTTTAATATTAAAATCAATTTTATTATAAAATATCAAACTGGTTGAAATGTCAAAATTACTCTTGAATTAATATGAGCTACAAAACGGCGCCAATTTATTATGCTAAAAATTCATTAATTTCTCCAAGGTATTGTAATATTGTGATTGCTATGAAATTTTAACCAAGGTTCGTATGCATGTCTAGTTACTCTCTGAAAAATTTTGTAATTTTTGGCCAAACATATATTTTTATAAAAATTCGACAACAGCTGTTGTATGGAATTTTTCACTTTTTAAAATCATTTTTTTAATTAATTTATGAAAAATGATAGGTCTTCCGATCTCAATTACAAACTCTTTTTCCGAATACAACGTGATTGGAAATGAGTCGAAGAGAAAGAGATGTTTATGGGATTTTTTATTTTTATTTTTAAGAGTTCCAATGTGATCTAACCACGTTGCATTCGGAAGAAGAGTCGACAATTGAGGTCGGGAGACATATCATTTCTTTTAATTTATTTGACAACCTTTTGGACATTGTGTCATCTCCAAATTTTTAGTTTTATACTTCCGTAAGTCTACTTTCCAAAACATTTTTGTTTGTCTCTTTTCGATTTCAAATGAATTTTCTATGATATTGTTTTATTCGTTGCTATGCAGATTTTTCCTCTAACTCAGCACCTCAACTGTTTTGCATCAAATGTTAATGAGGAGTAGATTAGTCCAATTCATTAAGTTATAAAGTGAACTTGTATATGAATGTCAATATGACAAACCTCACTTCCCTCTTCTTCCTCTCTCGCGTTCCCATCATTCAACGCAAACCTTTGTAGGATATATATATATTTTTTTTATCCATCCGCCTTGTCTGATTGATCTTCAAACTCTCAAATCTTATCAATATATTGTTAAGGAGCATACAATAGATATTGCAACTTACCATTCAAAAAAAAAAAAAAAAATTAGATATTGCAACTTTTTGACTTTGTCTTGTTGAAAATGTTTTACCTAGTTAAAATCACATTTTCCTCTCCCCTTTTCACTCTAATTTCAAGGGCGTCTGATTCATATATTTTTGGCACATGAATAGTTAAAATTTTCTGGCTTTGGCCTTTCTTGCGCAGCTTAGATACAGAGCGAATAAAGCCTCCTTCTAGAACACCGAGCCATCAGTGAGATACAATTTTGGAAGAGTTACAATTCTAACCTTGTGTTACGACCTACTGGCCCAAGGGACAGTCTCAAGTACGCTATTTTTATTGAAAGTAAATCTCCCAAAAGGTAATGCAGACGTGCAAAGGTTTCCTCGATCTTTTCCATTCCTGATGATTAATTAAGGTGAAAGCATGCCCCAATCTCAAATTTCAAAGCCACTCGGAATGCCCTCTTACTCCGCCAGAGGTTAGTCTCTTCCGCTGCCCAAACCTGGGTACGCAAATTAGATTCCACAAAAGGAAGGAAATGTTGGAATTTAGTGAAAGAATGGGTGGAGAGCACCCACAATACTTTAATGGAGCGTTGAAATCACTACCCTAAAAATAAACTCTCCCTATTAATAGTCTCTTTTTGGGAGGACGTAGACCTTTTTTAAAAATAACATGCTTTCATCCTCTCCTTTTTAAAATAATCAAAGTTTTATATATCCTATCCAACTTGAATATTAATATAGACATGTGCATTTATCTTTATCCAAATTTTTGAGTTGATTGAAAAGTATTCTGAGACAGCCAACTCATGTCCAAATTCTACCATTAATTTGTATTTAGAATTAATGTGTTTGCAACTGTCCTTACCAACCAACTCATGATCATCCCCTTAATTTACAAGAATATAAAAACCATCCTTACCCAAAATTAAAAATTTGACATTACCCATATAATTAATTAACGAGGAAGAGAGAAAATGAAGCCTTTCTGCTTCTTCTCTCTCTTTCTCTTCTCCTTTTTCACCTTCCATGTGATCACAACAAGCTCCATCAACCCCAACATCCAAGAAACATGCAACATATGTGCCAAAGATGATCCAAATCCAAAGGCAATGCTCAGTTTCTGCACCAATGTCCTTCAAGGTGCCAAAAAAAGCGAACACGCTAGCCGCCGGGGGCTCGGGAAGATCTCAATGACCCTACTGAAAGCTAATATGAATGGCACAAAGTTTTTCATCAGAGAAACTCTGAATCAAACAAAGCTTGATCCAAATCTCAAATTATGCCTCAAATCTTGCAGGGTAGAATACAAACGTATGAAACTTGGGGTAGATTTAGCCCTACAAGACTACAAGTTTGAGCACTATCAAGATGCTCATAATGAGATTAGTGGAATTATGAATGCTCCTACAACTTGTGAGAATTTGTTCAAGGAAAAGAAAATTTCTTCTCCGTTGACACAGAGAAATGAGCATGCCCTTCAGTTGTCTACAATGGCACTGTGTTATATAGATAAGGTTGTGAAAAAATGATCTTTGCTACTTTATGATTCATTGTTACGTATGGATACGGAAAACATCTCTTGTTTTATTTCTGGTATTAATAAATAATTATCTATATCAGGGAAAAAAAAACAATTATATATTATTCATATTTATGTGATGGAATTATATACAGTTAGGCAAAAAAAAAATAAAAATAAATGATAGAATTAAAAATGATTATATTCGGAGATGGTTGGAGTCAGAGACTGGGAATGCCCTCTCCCTCAAATAAATTTTATTTAGAAAAAATATATCTTCAATTTTTTCTTTCTTTTCCTTCTTACTCTTGTTCTTCAATTTTTTATTTTTATTTTTATTTTTTTTATTCTGGTCAAAGAAATTTGCATTTCTTTTTTCAATTAAAAATTTTCTTTTTAGAACTTCCAAGCAAATGAATTTAACGTCCGCCATGTGTCTAATGTACTTGAACCATCTATTAATTTCTCCAATAAATATATATATATATATATATATATATATATATATATATATTCTTTTCTGTCAAAAATAAGTGTCTACCCTTTAATTTTTTTTTTGTAGTAGAATAAGTGTTCTATTTGAAAAGTATTATTTTTTTTAATATTACTAATTTAACCTACTTGTATTGAATTCAATTTATTAACAATAAAATTGATAATTCATTCAATACTAATACAATAATAATAATAATAAATAAATTATTCTCTTAAAAAGTTTGATGGATAGAAAGGTCACATAAATGGATTGAGACCAAAACCAAACCATGTGTACGTCCCTGCCAATCAGCTCATGCCATGCAATAAAAAAAATTGACACATTTGAGACATGTCATGATTGGTAGGAACCATATAATTTTGTAATAGATTTATAGATATCCAACTCAAAAGATTAACCTGTTAGGTAGAGTGACACTGACACCATATAAATCCGAGATTTCCTTCTTTACTAACCGACGTAAGATTCGTTTAACTACCCAACAATTTCGATAGATAGAACGTCATTGATCGTACCATTTTTCTGTTAGGCAGAGGATCTTAAGTCCACTTGTGTTTTCTTAGAACTTGACTTTGATACTAGTTGTATTTTTTATTTTCAAGATACCAATTGTTGGACTTGTAGGTATCCAACCAATAAAAATTAACCTATGAGGCAGAGGTAGAGGTAGAGGTAGAGGTAGAATGATTCTTACCCATATAACTTCTGAAACTAGTTTAACTTTCCAACGTTCTGGACCACTATCATTAACCGACCTACCATTGGCTATCTTACTAACCGATGTGGATAGAATGTCACTGACCGTACCTACCATTGGCCATCTTACCAACCAATGTGGGACTTTTCAACTACTTAATAATCGATCCCCTCATTTTTAATAAAACCGCCCCAGTGGATAAAACCTTATCGGTCTTATCATATTTCCGCCAGTTATAGGGGATCTTGAGTGTACATACGTATTTTTGGGACTTGACTTTGATACCAATTATTAGACTTGTGGGTATCCAACTAAAAAGATTAACCTATTAGGTATACTGACCATTGCCCAATATAAATTCCAAACTTACTTGTTTACCAACCGATGCATTCAACGAGACAACATTATGCACCACCTAGAGATTTATATTCCAAACCAGAATATCCAAACTCTATCATTAATTCTTGTGGAGAAATGCATGTGTTGCAACTCATGCCCATACCAAGCCAACCCATCCCTTCTACAACTACATAAATCCCTTACCAGGGTGAAAATTAAAAATATGAGGAAAAATGAAGCCTGCCAATATCTCTCTCAAACTCCTCATCATCTCTCTTTCTCTTTTCTTGTTTTTCTCCTTCCATGTCACAACAGGTGCCACTAACCAAATCCGCGCAAGTTGCGACATATGTGCCAGACAATATTATGATTCAGATCCAAATCCAATGCTCAATTTCTGCATAAATTCCTTTCAAGCTGCCCGGGGAGCCGACCGCGCCGGCCGCCGGGAGCTCGCGAAGATCGCGATGAAGCTACTGAAAAATAATGTGACAGAGACACAGTCTTTCATCAAAAAGACTCTGAAAGAGAAGAACCTTGATCCAATTACCAAGTCATCCCTCAACAATTGCTTGGGAGAATATGGATTTCGTGCTAAAGCTTCCATAGATAAAGGGTTGCGAGCCTACAAAAATGGGCAATATCAAGAAGCTGGTACAGATATGAATGAACTCAGGTTTGTTGCTAAGAGTTGTGATGAAGGGTTCAAGGACAATAAATTTTTTTATTCTGGAATTGCCAAGAGAAACGACGATTTGCTTCTGTTGGCTTCACTGGCATTATGCTTACTAGATAAGATTTCGTAACCACTGAATCGTACGTCATAGTTTGTATTCATTGTTAATTACATGGTGGCCTGATACAACATCTCTTGTTTGATTTTCTAATATGAATAAATTAATAATTTTCTATATTTATTATACTAGAGGCTTAACACCATTGTGCATGTCAATATATATATTTCAATGCATAACATCTAATTTGAGTTTGTTACACTTATCTTCCATGTGTTTAGACATATTATAGTCACCCCCTTCTGAGTGAGACGCAACAATGAATCGCGCGTTTTATTATTATTAAAACATAATAAAGTATCAAATTTGGTCACACCAGTGTTGACCATTGTATGTACCTAATTTTTTAGTCAAACTGAAAATGAAATTGTAACAGGGAATATCACTAAAACAATGTGAGGAATACAAAAGAGTGGATTGAGTGAGGGAAAATCAGCCTAATTTGAGAACTAAAACTGAGGAGGCCCAGGACGACATGGGCCGGATCCGACTTGCAAGCACTACATTCGGTCCATACAGCTGGGTCGGCCCATATAAAGACACTGCCATATGGGCCGAACGCGAGTAAGCCCATCAAAGGTGACCAAGACTTATGGAGGAATAGGCCCAGATCCAGCAATCAGTCAGCATTTTGTAAATATCTTGTAAATATCTATAAATAGGATAAGGAATGGAAAGGAAGGGGGATCTTTTTGGGTTGAAGTGTAAGAATTCTAGAGAGAGAAAGAGGGAACGAATTTCTTGCATCTTCAATTGGCGCCGTCTGTGGAAAACGCATGGAAGTTTGGTTGATCAATAAGGAATATCGAGTGGATTCAAACCAATTCGGTTGATCGAGACTCGATCTTTGGGATTTGGATCCAGATCTGAGCGATTGTGACCTACTCTGGAGGAATTACAATTCTTGAAGCTTTGGCAGGAGTGGCTTCAGATCTACGCAACAACGAGTTGTTCGATTGTGCCAAGATTTGACGGATTTAGAGTTCAGACAATTCAGATCTCGTAAACAGTGAGCATAATTCGGAGAATTAGAAGCCAGATCTAAAAATTCATACTCACGAAACTCGGATCTACTCGCGAACTTGAGATTAATGCCTTTACTCCGTTCAGGAATAATGATAGGTGAAAGCTCCAATCCGATAGAGGCTGTCCAGCAAACAAAGCTTGAGGAGTTGATGAACTTGATTGAAGCTCTCAAAAAAGAGAATGCAGAATTGAAAGCTGGAATGCAACATCGGCAAATACCTGCGGTTTCGCATCCACTTCCGGTCGGAGAAGGAGGTGTTCAATCTAATATCGCGCGTCAAGGCGAACAGGACGAGAACAATCAGTCAGCTCACCACCGTGATGAAAGGATGATGGACAATTTGCCGCCAAATGTTCGTCGAGTTGAAGATCACGAAGGATCGACTCACGTTGATCCGCATCGGGAAAGGTTTGACCGAGAGGAAGTGATAGAGGTTAATCGCCGTCGAGGAGCGTCGCCTTGGCAAAGAGAGTTCATAGAGGAACGGTCGTTCGATCCGTCTTACCGGCCCTCCATGGTTACTATCACTCATCGCGGTTCGGAGGGCAGAACCGTAACTCACAGAGCTACCGCTGGACTCCAGAGAGAGAATGAAGCTCTCCGATCCGCAGCTCGGACGGTGGATTCACCATTCACCGACGAGATCTTGAATGCCCCGCATCCAAGGAAGTTTGCTATGTCAGTCTTTATTCTGTTCGACGGAACGACCGATCCGATCAATCATGTGTATCATATCCAGTTGAAAATGGCCCTGAATACGGAAAACGACTCTTTAATGTGCAAATGTTTCCCTACAAGCCTAGCCGGACCGGCGCTCAGCTGGTTCAAAAATTTGCCTAGGAGCTCCATTGGTAGCTTCAGAAACCTGTGCGATCGGTTCATAAGCCAGTACTATGGGAACAAGCGCCCGCCGAAAGACATCTCGAGCCTATTCACGATGAGGCAGCACAAGGATGAACGTCTCCAGGCTTTTCTTACCAGGTTTAATCTCACTAAGAGTATGGTGATCGAATGCCACCCTTCTACAGCAGTTCAAGCCTTCAAGTTAGCCATGACACGTGGAACTCCGTTTCACACCAGTCTGGTAGTGAACACGCCAACTACTATGGATGAACTTAACGAAAGAGCCGATGGCTTTGTGCGCCTAGAAGAAGAGGAGGCAGCTAATGCTCGGACAGCGTCGCTCGTGTCGACCGAGGAAAAGTCCAAGGCAAAGATTAGGCAGAAGCAGGCTCAGCCGCAATGTCAGACCTCTTGGAAGGCAGAAAAAAGGTCCAGGGAGGAAGAGCTGATTACTCCGCTGAAGGTCACTCTGGCGAGGTTGTATCAGGAGAACAAAGATAAGTTTCATCCACCACTGCCAATTAGGCAACCCCTCGAATAGAGGGATCAAACTAAACATTGTGCTTTCCATTCTGACTTCGGTCATCAGACTAACGAATGCAGGAACCTGAGGAGGCAAGTGGAGATGTTGATAGCTAGAGGGGAGTTCGCGAGTTATGTTCAAGGTTCGGCGATAGAGCAGAATCGACCGGTGGAACAAATAAAAAGGAGTCATAAACAAAGCTCCCACAATTCACAACCAGTTCGTATAATCAATGCTATCCATGGTCGACCTGAGCCTAGTGAAGAGTCGAATGAGCTACTCCGGGCGCGCCTGCGGCAAGCGCAGATGAAGAAAAGGGTCAGCAGTGTGAATACTCTACACCAGCAGAGCCCGTCGATGCAGATAAAATTCGACTGGACAGACCTGCAGCGTGTTCAACTGCCGCATGAAGACCCGTTGGTAGTCAGTTTGACAGTGGCAGACTGCTTGGTGCGCAGAGTTCTGATCGATCCTGGGAGCAGTGCGAATGTCATGCCGAGGGACACATTTGATAGGCTCGAGATTCAACCAGAGAGGCTCAAGCCCACCGGAAATCCCTTGTTAGGGTTCGATGGGAAGAGGGTGGAGCCCGTCGGGATGGTGGAAGTGGAAGTTCAAGCTGCAGAACGAGCTCTTATGGAAACTTTTGTGGTTGTAGAAATTCACCCCTCGTATAATTTCCTGATGGGAAGAGGATGGATTCACAGAGTCCAAGGTGTACCCTCAACTCTGCATCAGGTCATGAGGTGCCTCGGACCCGAGGGAGATAAAGTGATAGACATTCGGGGGGATCAGGTTGCAGCCAAAGAGTGTTATTCCTTCACACTAAAGCATGCTGGGAAAGGGAAGGCGCCCGTCCGTTCGGCAAGCCCCAGATAGCAATTACAGGAACCTCCGCCCGAGCAGAACAGGGTGGAGGAGTCAGTCGACTTGACCGAGGAGCCCCTTCTAGATGTGCAGATCGATCAGTCCAGGCCAGAACGAACTACCAGAGTAGGTATAAGACTGACCAGAGAAGAGCAGCAAGAGCTAGTGGATTTCTTGTCCCACAATGCCGACGTATTTGCATGGAGTCACCTAGACATGCCTGGAATTAGTCCCTCCGTATCCTGTCATTCCCTGAATGTCAATCCCAATTTCAAACCGGTGAAACAGAAGCAGCGAAGATTTGCTCCAGAACGTAATCAAATCATAGCGGAAGAGGTCGATAGGCTGCTTGATGCGGGATTTATCAGAGAAGTGCACTACCCTGATTGGTTGTCCAACGTCGTTGTCGTGCAGAAGAAGAATGGGAAATGGCGAGTATGCATTGATTTCACCAATTTGAACAAAGCCTGTCCGAAGGACAGCTTCCCGCTGCCTAAGATTGATCAAATGGTGGATGCCACCACCGGGTATGAGCGTTTAACCTTTCTGGACGCTTATTCAGGTTATAATCAGATCCCTATGGACCCCGCAGATGAAGAAAAAACTTCTTTTGTTACCGAGCGAGGAACATACTGCTACAAAGTTATGCCTTTCGGACTAAAGAATGCGGGAGCAACTTATCAAAGACTTGTTAGCAAAATTTTTAAGAATCAAATGGGTAAGATTGTGGAAGCCTATATTGATGATATGGTGGTAAAGAGTAGGAAGAAGGATGATCATCTGAAGCATCTGCAAGACGTATTTGATGTACTGAAGCGATATGGGATGAGGCTCAATCCAACCAAGTGCTCGTTCGGTGTGAGTTCCGGACAGTTTCTGGGACACGTGGTCAACCGCAGAGGCATCGAAGTTAGCCCCGCTCAAGCAGAGGCTTTGATTAAGAATGCCGAGCCAAAGACGATCAGAGAGGTGCAAGCCCTCACAGGACGAATAGCTGCATTAAGTCGATTTATTTCAAAATTGTCAGATCACTGCAAACCGTTCTTTGACACGATTCGGAGCCATGGAAGGCAGGTCTGGGGGGATGAGCAACGACAAGCATTGACTCATTTGAAGGAATATATGCAGAATCCACCAGTCCTGTCAGCCCCAGATCCGGAAGAAAAGTTATTTCTATATCTTGGAGTATCTGGTGTCGCGACGAGTGCCGTTCTGATTCGTTGCAAGGAAGGGGTGCAATACCCGGTATTTTATGTAAGCAAAACACTGACAGAGGCAGAAAAAAGATACTCAAAGGCCGAACGGGTGGTACTTGCACTTGTAAATGCAAAAAGAAAGTTGAGGCATTATTTCGAATCCCACCCCATAGCTGTTCTAACAACTTTCCCAATCAGAACGCTTATGCACAAGCCAGAGCTTTCGGGCAGAATGACAAAGTGGGCCATAGAGTTGAGTTCATTTGACATAACGTATGAGCCGCGAACAGCTGTTAAAGGGCAAGCGGTGGCCGATTTCCTGCTAGAATGTGATGCCGAATATACGGAAGAGGACCTTAGATCCGGCTCTTGGAAACTTTTTGTGGATGGCTCCTCTAACCAGACGGGGGCTGGAATTGGGATCAAACTGCAAACCCCAGAGGGTACTTCCTTGAGCCAAGCACTCAGACTTGAGTTCCGAGCCACCAATAATGAAGCGAAATACGAGGCGTTGCTAAATGGATTAAAGTTGGCCAGAGAGCTACAGATCAAAAGTTTGACTGTGTATAGTGACTCGCAGCTGATTGTTCGGCAGGTAAATGGTGAGTACGCGACCAAGGATGACACGATGGGGGCATATCGTTCTGTCGTTCTGCATAAAGCCAAGGACTTTGC